GAACATAAATGCAAGGGTACGTTTTTTAAAAGTTGTACAGAATGGCATAATTTATTACTGTATGAAAATGCATGTACCTCGAAGTTTAACGGAGCTACTGTTCGCAAGTACATAAAGGTTTAGATAGTTATATTGATAACTATTTCATTTGTATACACTTTTGTTATTATTTTGCATGACAGTTATTATCATGTTAAGGAGAAGAACAAGTAAGTTGATAGAACTTGTATTGTTTCTAATCCTTTTGATTGTCAATAAAATATATGTTCAAAACAGTATCTCTCAGAGTATTTGATCAAGCTCATATATCGACAAATAATTTTTTAATGCTGACTTTTAACATGACCGTTGATATCTTTGTGACATCAATTTATTTGTCAATAGCTTCCCTGGTTTTAAAATTTATCTGTAAGTAGAGCATGTAGATGATGCTATGCAGATGATGCTGGCACACCTACATGATAGAAATGTTGACGTCATCGCGTATAACTTAAAGTTTTGTTGTTAGGTTTCTTATCTACCACGATTATTGCCGAGATCAAAGAAATGCCGCGGACATTATTCTCCAATTGATCACGAACGTTATCAAAAAATAATCAGAGCAGAAACACGTATCAAACCTGCACAGTTGTTATGAATATTTGACTCTAAAATGAAATACTTATTTAGAGTCATCGATGTGTCGTCTTTAATTTGCAGTCAAAACACTGTAATTATAACTTGCATTAAGTAGCTGATGAATGAAGGTTTTTTCGCTACATGTAATCAATTTAAGAGGGACCTCTCTATGCAATTTAAACAACGTGATTTTATTCTTAATTAAGGCAATAAAATAGAAACATGATTTTGTTTTTGTATATTCATTAAAATTAATCAATATATGTTACGAACAAATTTGTAGTTAAAAAGAACTATTTTTAATGCAACGAAAGCTCAAATAGTCTGCATTCCATACACAGGTAAGTAAACAAATTCTTCTGGTATTAAATGGAAGAGCGTAATCGAGACATGGGGACCTAATTCGTTTCTCTACAGAGGAAACGGTCAGCCCTATTTTAGAGCTCTTAGTAGAATTGAAAAAGTCCTCGTTGTCGCGATTGTTGCAGGATAACCTCCTCGGTCTCGAAATGTTGTTTGAAATATGAAGACCTCGGCTTTTACATGTATATTTCAAACAACATTTCGAGACCGAGGAGGTTATCCGGCAACATTCACAAAAAACTCGGGCTTTGTTTCTTAATGTAATTTTCCTTCAATCACAGCTTATAAATAGTTCTTCCATTGCAAATATGAGCAACAAAGATTTATAAATATTCTTTTTCTCTGTCCTTGAAATAGTTAATTACAATTTTGCAATAAAAATTTCCGACATCAAAGTTGCAGCTCATATTGCTTTAAAAACACATTCTAAAGCGTTAATGATCATCCATTTTTACTTTTTGTTTACTTATTACTGTTTTAACTTGATTATCGCAAAATCAGAAGAAAATATATAGTCTTAAAAACTGAAATAAAATATTTGTTTTTTTTATTTTTCATGGCTCTACTTCTGTAAGATAAAAACTATGGAATTCATAAACCGTAAAAATTTAAATTCTACATAAGATTAATTATTATCGAAAATATTTTTGATTTCTTTGCAGATTTAGTATTTTGAGCCGATACATTTCTTAGACTTTTTGAGAAGATTTTCATTTTTAGATATTGTGCTACCTTTTTATTTATTATTTAAAAATTGATCCGTATGATAGTAAACTTGTTTTTAATGATGTTATATTGAACAATATCTGCCTTTGGAATAAATTGGTTAAATTGTTGAAGAGGAAGAATAATAATTCAAGTAAAAATGTGCACATTTTACCCTAAATTGCTAAATTTTGCGTTTCTGCGTAGCAATAACTGTATACAAGGACTAAATTTTATCAAATTATTTATTTCATTCTTATCATATGAAAATTCATTACATATATTTGATAAACATTTTTATAAAAGTTAGTTTGTGATTATTGTCGATATAGACTTACATGCACGAAAATTCCTAATTTGCACTCCAATAGTAATTGTAATATATCCGTAAAGAACAGAGTGCTGTTTAAGAAATTGAAACAGAAACTACTTGTAAGACAATAAAATAAATTTAAAATGTCCCAGAATGTTTTTATATGTAAAAGTTTATGTTGACATTTTCCTATACCATCGGATCCATTATGGATGTATATGCTCTCCATAATTCTCTCATATTACATCTTACTGAGGTCTTTGGATCTTAAGTATCAAGTCAATGGTACTGCCTTGTTGGTACGACAGGATGCCAGCCTTCTAGCATGTTTTTGTGTTAGAAACACAAATGAACACTGGAATAATGAAGTGATGGACGATGTCAGACAGTTGCTCGGTAAAGGTCCTCATAAAGAGCCAGCCATTTCTCTGTGGTTTCCACAATCTTTACGGTGGAGTGTTCCCCGTTAACAGGTTTGGATTGGGCCTCAATGTGGCGCCTCCAGTGTGGTGTCCGCGTGTGGACCTGGTACGTCTTCATACTGTGGAACTGGCTCAGGTGGCTCCCGGATAGAAAACGAGGATGTTCTGCCGGAGACAATGGCCTTTCGTCGTCCTGGAAATCCAACGCGGAGACACCGTCGCCATTTGCATTTGACGTCATCAAAAAGTTAGTATTGGCTTTATAAAAGGATGTTTCTGGACGTACGGGCAAGTCAACATGGAGCTCATCCGGGTTGGACGATCCAATCACCGAGAACGGACGAATTGGTGGTGGCATCTTCTTACTGCGCTGTTTGCGAGATTTTCCTTTGATTTTCCACATTGGTGACACAAAGTCACTCACACTATCACATCGCTCTGTAATGTCCATTTGCATATCCTCTTGTCCCATATTTGATGTGTTTTTTTTATTAAATTGTGAATTAGTCTCTTCGAAGGCAGAAACAGTTGTGATGATTTGACTATTTTACAAGAACTTAAAAGAATAGTTCCGTCTATTTTTAGAACATACACCTTTGAAACCTGAAAAACTTTATCTCTTGAAGTTTCTTTTTGCCTCATCATGCATTATGGACAAACGATTCTTGGCTTCTGTTAAAGATTGTGACAAGATTGAAACCTCAGTAGGGGATCGGATAGAACAGTAGCACATTTCTTATCTCCCTAACGCTTTAAGTGGTTACTGAACTGGTGCCTTCACGCCATCAGATATAGCCACAAACCCCGATATCAGTTACCGATCGGCTGTGGCGGTTTCATCATGCGATCTATGGTTGACTTCCTATACCCTATCACGTGACGTATTGTGACGCTACAAAGCTGTCAGAAGTGTGCCAAGACTTTGTTTATCTATTTTTTTTTCTGCACTTATCTTGTAAAATTTGCACTTCTGTTTTGACCTTTCTGTCAGTCTCGTGCAATTAATTAAGTTATTGCATTGATAAATTTGCTGTGGTTTGGCATTGGGCATGGATACATGGACTCTCTTTCATGTCATTCATTCACTACATGTATCTAAATTTTGTGAAGTAAAGAATTGTACCAGAACCACCAAAGCAGTTTTTCTGACGGTATATTCAATCTTAATAATATTACTGTATAATTTTACACTATCATCATTTATTTATTTATTATTTTTATTTATTTTTTCAGAAAATTTCACACTGTGGATTTTTCCCAAAGATAGGGAAGATACGTACTACAAGTACTCAAGTATAAGAACTACTTGTAGTAATTATGCAAATTACTAGTACTTTATTAATGATAAACAACTGAAAGAAAAGAAACAACAATACATGTATATGTCCAAGTATACGTATTTTAAAGACAGGGAAATGTTTGATAGAACACATGCAAATGAATGATGCTAAATATATTCGCCTTTTTTGTATTTCAAAATTTAAAGAATTCGAACACGTTGGTATCTTACAAACATACGATCAATAAAACAATGGAATTAATTTGTATACACATAACCATTTATACCAATTATCCTCGAAATTCCAATTTTCATGCATGTATTGATATTACAAAAAACATAGCCAACTCTCTATTACTAAACATATAACACTTCATCACCTGAATAAGTATCAAACACACAATATATGTCCTTGTGATTATCAATTTTAACTTTGATGTACAATTTTAATTCTAAACATTCTAAATAAAAAATTACTCCTGTTTACACAAACTATTCAATATTCATTCACACAATAACATTAATATTGTCCATTGTAAAAGAAACTAGTACACTAGTCCTGTCTGTCTGTAAGAAAGGTTACAACACCTTAGGTATTACAATATATTTTGTATAATACAGTGTACATACAATTAATATAACATAAATATATGCTATAAGGATAAAAAATAAATTTCGCTTTAAAAATGATTCAAACATAAATAAATATAAATCCTTTAAACAAAACCAAAAATCATAACATTTTCCATGCATTTTAACAATCTAACATTTAAATTCATGAATTTGGTTTAACAATTCACAAGTAAGCATTTTGGGAAAAAAATGAAAAAAGAAGGCATTTTATATTTGTAGAAATATCGGAGTTGACTAAGCAGAGTCTTTGTCCATAAAAAAGTAAGAAATTAAAAAAATTAAATATCCTTAATATTAATAAATAGATGCAATGTGAGCTACAAGTAAAATACTAGTATATAAATTCCAAATAGTATCGTTTGGATGAGAAATTGATACCGGTACATCATACAGCGTTCTATCGGTAATCATTAAAATTAGAAACTGGCTATTTTACAGAAAAATGCTATTGAAAATGTCAAATCAAATTTTAAAAAAAATGAATAACGATTGAAAACATGAGTGAAATTCTGCCTTATTTTTGAATAAATTACAATAACACTAACAACATCAATTTTGCTTTATTTTATCAAAAACATGTTCAAAAACCAGAGAGGAAATTTTATAAAGTATAATATATTAAATCAAAAATTGTACCTAGGATAGGATAGACTCAACAATCAACAATTCGACCATCCAAACTTGCAGAAGAAAGAAGAAAATATAGGTGAGTTTATGAGAGTGAGAATTAGGGGATACTTATCGTCAATTAAAATCCTTTTTAATGTTTTTGTCATTGAGGCTATTGACTATTTTCCACATGAAAACTTGGTTGCTGAATACAGTTTATGATACCATAAGGTCAAGTCGTACTTATTCAGTTGTCTTTGTGATTCTTTCGTTGTGTATTGCATAAAAGTTGTTTGAAGTTCGGGTAATATCATTTGCTCTGCCAAATTCGTCCTTGATTCTACACAATGTTTATCAAATGCATGTTTTGCTGTGATCAACATTTCAAGTTGAAATAAAATGAAATCGTTTTAGAGAAAGTATAAAACTCTATGAATTAGTTATTTAGCTCATTGTTACACCTAGGAATTTCTTTAAAGTGTGTTTGACTACCAAATGAAAACTTCTCATTTTATAGTATATACGTAGAATGTTATATACACACATTATTCAAAGACATGATGTAGTTTTTTGCTGTACTAATATTAAAACAAGAATAAAAATGTCGTTACACAACATATATTTCAGATACATTGATGTTATATTAGACCAAATATTACAAATATAAATAAATGCTGTTACTTTAGGCTGTGTCTTGGCGTTCTCTGTCGACATTTTCCGTCGGGCACGTTAAGCAGGTTTTTACTGGGGACCTGAATGTCAGTCTCAGAAAGACTTCTTTCTTTCTCAACTCCATTCTCTTTCTCGCTGTTTGTTAAGCTATAGTAATATGTTTTATCATTATTGTTTTATATATTTTAAGATTTATATACCAAATATATTTCAAATTCTAACAAATAAATACTTCTAGAGAGATACTTTCAATGAATTGGCAACATCAAAAATATTTAGCCATCTAACATAGAACTAACTAGATCTAAATGGTTATGACATTTTCAACATAATAAACATGATGCACCGTCATATTCCTACAATCCTTAAACAGTTTATGTTCAGAATAATTCTCATTTAAAGTGGTTCGAACCCTGGGCGGGACTAATTGATAAAAAAAAGTAGCAACTGTTCCTTCATCAAGGGTTCGGCATTTTCAATTGAAAGTTGCAGATCCTTTGGATGAGACCTTAAACACCGAGGTCCAGTGTCAAAGCTAGCATCGGTACGATAAAGAACCCTCACTGCTCAATCAATCAGTGATCTTGGGGCTAATTTATTTTTAGGCGATCAGTATTTGTGTTAACTTTCTTATAGTGTTCATGTCTCTCTACTGAGATCAAAGTCTTTATTGGTTTTGTTATAAAGTAACGGTTCCTTAAGAATTTTATTCATACATTGTACATGTATGATAAACTTACTTCAATGAAGATAAATAGCACTGGTTCATAAACCTATTGACTGTATATGACTTTAGCAACCCTGTATTTGTTAGGTTTTGCTTTATTAAAAATACGTACCTACCTCTAGGGATGTCCCTCATTTCGGAGAGTTGAGATATGTAGGTGACCTCGTTACTGATTTCATTGGTCACTGAGACGTCCTCGTCGTTATCTTCTTCTGGTTTTATCTTTACACAAAGCAACTTCCTCACGTGACTATTCGTCAGCACGTGACCAAGAAAGATGCACATTCCCTATTTGACAAATATAGAAAACTAACTGAACACTTATTTATTTGAGTATGAAAATGGCAAGTTTTAATTTGTATGTAGGGTCATAACTTAAATTATACCAAGGCTTTAGTAAAACAGTTAGAGCAAAACACTAAAAATTGTGTGAAGACAAAATCACATTTTAGATCCACATTGTACATATCTTGTTGCTCTTTCTGTATATATAATGTACCTGAGTGGAACACAAGGCCACAAACACGTATTGGGTGTTCCTGGAGATTCCAAAAGTCGTGGCTAGCCCAAGGGACCACATGAGACCAAGAACAGGGACCAGGGAAATTGCAGTTAAAAGTTGGTTCCTATAGTAGAAAGTCATGATTGGTCACTGACATTCACCGCGGCCATATTATACACTCAGTATTATACTTCTTAATACTAGTCTTCGAGTATAATAGTGAATTATACACCAATATAGCTTAGAGATATTATACAAATATAGCCTTTTCATGAGGTCGATCCATAGATATATCGACTTCACAGAAAAGCGTATCGACCGAGCACGAAGTTTATTAAAATGATGGAAACCATTGTCAAACCAATAAAGAAGAGGACATTTTAGATTTATTGTATTTTATAATGGTTACAGAGAACATTGAAATGAATGCTCAAACTTACTTAGCAACACGTCTTAATCCAAAGTTCCTTTTGACATCCATTGCAAATCGTGTCGTCATTATTAAGCCAAATACATTTAGATTTACCTAAGAAAAACAATTTTAGAATCACATTAAAAAATCACCGAAATAAAAGCCATGCCAGATTTTGTCGAGCCTCAATATTGTACATTTTTTTCAATATATACATATTTTGAAAAAATATTTGAAATCATGGCAATGTTATCCTTTTTAATTTTTAAACTCACCAACTGTATGGCTAAAGTGGGACCAACAAATGCCCAGCGAGTTCCCTTTTCAGCCGTTAACCAGCATCTGAAGTATAATCTTAATAATCATATTTAATGTAGACAAATATTTGTAAATCTTTCCCGGTATTATTTTTTCTATTAACTTTTCAGACTTATTAAACATGGTTCAATCATTACCTTAAAAAAGGCATTGTTTTATAATTTATATACATGTATCCGGTAAACAATTCAAACCAAGTGTATAAATATATCTTTTAGAGAAGTATATAATTAATAAACCAAAATGAATTATCCAAACTCATTACAGTGTGCCTGATCCGTAAGTATCCCCCCTCAGAGCCGCCGTCAGACCGACAACCACCATGGCGGGCACCCAGCAGATGAACAGAGCTGTCACACGCTTATGACACCTCTCCATGAAGGCCAGAGACTTCAGCTGGAATGGTAACCAGTTAAAACACATACGAATGTTAAAATGAAGCTTTTCAGCTGAGGTATTTTAGCAGCTGCCTAAATGTTCACTGTATTTGCATAGTCTTTCAGAAATTATTCAAAAATGTTAATTTTTTTCGTGATAAAGTACATGAATAATATAATTATTGAAACTCTACAATTCTTGCTACGACACCTCCTATCAGAATTAAAAGTTACAGATACAAGTATGCAGTTTTACATGAATTTCATTCAAATGTGTCTATAAGGAAGGATATGTTCAGAACAAGCAAAGAACTAATTCGTTAATTAAGATACACTGATTATTACCTTAGAAAGAAGATGGAGTCCATAAGACAGAGAACAGAACTGTAGAGTGAGGAAGAAATAGTGGATCACAGCTGTGGCTGTCCTACACACCAACTGAAATTAAATATCATTTTAAAGTATAAATATACACTCGATATACTCATGTCGCCTGTATATTAAGACATAAAACTATACTTCTACTTGTAGGAATCTATTTGTCAATCCGTCTATCTTCCTGGGTGGAATAGCGCTTTTACACAACTTATCTAAAGTCATTATTACACAAACTCTATGGTCGCTCATAAATTAATAATGACTTTGTTTGTAGGTACATCATATTGTTTGATTGCATTTTGTCTGACACGTTCGATACCTTTTGCTAGGTCATTGCTTTTAAACTAAAATTTACTACGGAGTAATCTGTATTCTTTATCGATACAGAGGGCTCACGACGGCAAAAACCGGACAACAGAGGATGCTTACACTTCCTAGGCAACTTATCCCATCTCTGGTGTTTCCAGACGTCTGTGTTTTCCCAATATTCACAGTTTCATTTATTTGATTTAGTAGAATGATCTCTGTTTGCTATCTTGTCATGTTACTTTATGAAATACTTACTTTGCTTTGAAATGAATTCTCAGCGCCGATCAATGCCAGCTGGGCACAAATGAGTGACACATTCATATTGATAAGAATAAACATGCCATCTGAAGCAACTCTGAAAACCAATCAAAGAATACATTATCTTGTAATTCGTTCACATAGTATAATAATTTGTTTACACCTTAAAAACTTGAGCGGAACCCTCCACTAACGGTAGAAAACAAATCAAGCACAAAGACAACATGGTTCCAACCAAAGAGAAGCCACTTCCGGTCACAGAAAGTTTTACCATGGAAGACACTTCTGAATCTGTAAGCTGCAAATTATACATTGTCTTCATTTAGTTATCAGAATAAACTTTTTTGCACGTATCAGATTGAGTAACTTAAAACTTAGGTTTGAGTAACTTAAAACTTAGGTTTTCTGCTATGTGAAATTTTCTCAAGAAAAAATACTCACCGAACCATTCCCAACATCCATTAGAAAAGTATAGCTCGCCATTTTGTTTGATCAATAAGTTGAATCTTCAGCTTAAAGATCAACCTTTGCTAATAATGAAAATGAAATACATAGTAATTTTTTTTTCACACGATATTTTGAAATATTATAAAAAGTCTCTGCAAAATATATTTTGTTCAGTACATTTCGCAACCCTTCAAGTGCATGGAGTTCTTATAATTACAATTACATGTACATGTAGTTCTTTAAATCAAATCATAGCATACGAAAAATCAAAATTTAATTTTCGTTAAAAAAAAAATTAAAATAACATTGTTTTGTCATAACATACCTTTCTGTATTGGTATGAATTCTGTAACGATAGCCTTCAGTTTGTTATAACCCGATCCCTGGTTCACTGCACCCTCATCCTTTCTCATTCACCACCCTTCACCATATATGACAAACCTTCGGTGATCTAGACCTCACATTCAGTGTTCTTGGAATTCTAAGTTCTGTATTCTGATTCTCCAAGAACGTCATGCTAAGCAGATTGGTAAGGCGTAGCACCGAATTTGGCGTGAGAAGTCATTTTCTCTTCAATATTTAATCACGAAATGTGATTAGCTTTCTAATTAGTAGACTTATTAGGGTAAGGCTCTTTGTCTCGACCAGCATGTCCATACTCTTCTGAATCTCATATATATTTACAGAGGATTTCAGTAAGTACCATTGATGAAGTAAGTATGTATTATACCCTGTCAATGAGTAGAAGTAATACCCCGATATTATAAATGCAGTTGAAAACTATATCGAGTACATTTAATCTCTTTCTGTATTTTTGTTTTATTTTACCATTGTTCTCCGAGAATGATATAATTACAACCAAAGAAGATCCAAAATTCGATCATTCATTTTTTATTTTTTGTATCATCTGTTCTTATATTAATGATATATTCATAAAAAATTAAGGTGACAATTTTCACTGGCAGTAAATATTTAAGCATTGAATTCATATTTTTGGATGTCTTCTATGGAAAGCCACAGGGGACCCCCAGGGTCAGGGTCTATATATTCTATAGTTTTAACCCTGGCCGTCCACCCTGGCCTTCCCATACTTGCATCCTCTACCTCCCAGGGTCAGGGTCTATGTAATCAATAGTTTTAAAGTCCACCCTGGCATTCCCATGCTTGCATCCTGGACCTCCCAGGGTCAGGGTCTATGTAATCTATAGTTTTAACTCTGGCCACCCATGATACATGAGTGATCATGAATGAGTGATAGATGAATGATATTTACGTCCCATTCGAGAATCTTTATACATACATGTACTCTCACAAAGAGACGACCCTTTATATATCGGCATCTAGGGATTTGAATCACAGGCACTTGTTTCGGAAATAAATTTTATCCGATGTATATTAATAAAATATACATATAATAATAAATATTTACATTCCGTGTATTTTTCCTTATGAAATTTTTCCCTCGCAATGTTTGTTTGCGTTTTTTAACTTTGCAACGTCACCTGACGTCACAAACGGCTCTTACGTCTATTAACCACGTCAGTTTTGAAAGGCGCTAAATTCACATTAAAGCTTAACGAAATAAGTAATTATGAAGAAGGAAAATTAGAGAATGTAAATATAAGCATTGGCCGTGCCGACAAATTTATCATACCGCGCTAACGCGCGGTATTCAATTTGTAGGCACGGCCAGGTGTGTTATAGGACCGAAGACAGCCAAAAATATGAATTCAATGCTTAAATAAATAATAATATTATAATAACACATTGTGTTATTATTATACAATGGATTAAAAATTTGTTACCTAAACAAGTGCTTGTGGTTAGAATGTAAATCTTTACTCTGCACCCATGACCATTTGCTATACCCTTTCTATCGACTGCCAGTTGCAGTAGGTGTTTGAACCCATGACCAGGGAAACGGCGCTTAACCGAGTGTTAACGTGACGGTCATCATGACATAAAAGCCGTTTAAGGGGGGACCTATGTCGTTCGACGTCAAAGCAGCTTTATGTGACGTCACAATAGCGACGTTTGTTTTTTTCCGCTGACTTTTGCAACTGTGATTATAGGCATAACATTGTTATTAATCAAAAACGTACAAATTTCACAAAAAGAAATTTTTTTAATCATTTAAAACAGTTTTATTTGATTTATGGAGTTTGTAAATATCAGAATTCTCTTCCTTTAGTTGATAATTCATAGCAATTTCAGTTGTGCAGAAATACCTCTATGATATGCTGATATAAAAATGCAAAAAATATAAGATAAAATTCAGCAAAGACAGTGGCTTAAATTAGGGAAATATGTTTAATTTTATGATTACCATTAATTGTATTTTCTGGATCAAACTAAGAAAAATAAAGGAATGTACTTGTACCTATATTTACTTATTGATTTATAGTGTATGCAGATTTTATTGTATAAAGTCATTCCTATTAGGTGTTGGTTGTTGACGGGGAAGGGGGGGGGGGGGCAGAATGATTAGCATGAAGAAAAAAAGAGTATATCTGTTTAAATTATTTCTTATCAAAACAAAATACTCGTTTTTTGCAAAATAGTTTTTTATTCAGATGTTTGTCAGTGCTAACTTACCTTTTTTTTAGTGCAGGAAGGTCAATATTTATGACAAAAGAGTACGAAAATAAAAGAAAACGTTATATTTCTCGTTTATTTTATCATAAAGGTATACTTTTTTCCTTGTTAAAATAAAGAAAGGGGTCATTTCTTTATAAAATATGAATTAACACATTTTCACACAAAGACTTTTTAAGATATTACCTGTTATGCATGTCGGAATTGTAAAAAATACGACAAGAAAAACGGGGTGATACTTACATTGTGCTCCTGTATAATTTGTCATGCGAGATGAATTACAATGAATTTGCCTTCATTTTAAAGATACAAGTCATATCAATTAAATACATGTTGATTTCGAATGTGATTTGACATTTTTGGTTCTTTTTAGCGCAGATTTGGAGTAGAACAATAACGTCTGAAAATAGTCTATTTTTAGCATTTCACACTGTTTTTGCACGTGCTCCTGTGTAAAAATAAGCATATAAAGGTATTGTTTTTAATACTTAAAAATTAAAATCAAGTATAGGTTACATCATAGAAGCCGAGTAATATTGATTATATCGTTTTCATGGGGCGTGGAAATCAAGGGCATGAAGCGATATATATATATACATACGATATAATCAATAGTATGAGGCATCTGTGATGTAAGCAACTTGTCGCATGTCTGATGACGTAAATTTCATTGAGAGTGTCAAAATTCAAAAAAAAAATATTCAGTTAAGATTCAATAAATTATTCATTTCAAGCTAGCTCTCCAACATGTCGGACGTTAAATAGTGAATTTGACTTTGACTTTTTAACTGAGTTCGAAGATTTTGACGATTTATCTTTGAGCCAGGCACTCGACAGATATGAAATTACAGAAAGAAATATCAAGGAATTTACTGTATAAAGTTTTGGGATTTTACCGTAACTTTCAAAATGGATTAATCTTTAGAACGACTGGGAACTTGCAACTGAGTTAAATACATGTATTTTGATTTAGTTAAAGGCTAAGAAATAGCTATAGCATGTTCATTTTTCTATAGTTATGAACTTGTGAAATAAAATCAGTTTTTTTTTCTCATGACCTGATTTCTGCCTCCTTCAGTGATATATGAAGGGGCGTGGAAAGTATTATCGCATATGTGATATGGGATATATCACCACAGAAAGATCAAAGAAATTCACCGCAGATATGCGACAAGTGGTCAGGAAAGAAATGTCAAAGTTTTGAAAATTTCACACAAAGACTTTTCGGACATAGGTTCCCCCTTAAAAATGACTTTTTCGAGAACTCTCTTTAAAAACAAACAAAAAAAAATATATTCAATAGTTTTTAAGAAATAATATTGTAATCAGGATTAATGAGAATGCTGCAATATGTAATTTAGATTTAATCATCTCTGAACCTCATACATGTATTATAATAAGATTCTTACAAAATACAACTATTGAAATACACTGTATATTTGATAAACATGATTTTATTGAAAAATATTTAAATCTCTGAAAATCTATAATTTAACAATAACCAAGTGATACTCATCGTTACAGATAAATATACTGTATACAGAAAATCATTTCAAATATATGACGTAATCCTTCATTTCACGTAATAATCAAAGGTGACAATGATTCGTATTATAATCATACCATTTCAGTTAATTATAATGTAATAACTAACTAAATATTTAAGGGAAAAATTTACCAAGTTATACTGTATAACATGGGTTGGGATTGTTTTGTGCTTTGCACTTTATAAAAAAGCATTGCTGCTCCAACCCAGGTTTTACCAGAATAACTTTGGGAGCTATTAAATCCATTCGTTATAATTTAATTTTCCATTATGAAGAATTAAAATTAAGCCATATTATCTTTCAAATTGTCTTCAAATTGAACAAATTTTAAATGTAATGTCAAGCGGATTGATACGTTTTTGACGTGTCATTGTGACGTAGGCAACATAGGTTATACGATATACTACACTTATTTTTTTTTATCCAATCAAATGACGCGTTACAACCAAATTAAATTATAAATGGATAATGTAGTGTCTGTATGCAAACACTACTTTTTTTAATTCATTAATATGATGTAAGCCTGTCTCCATGCACCGATTGAGTTCACACGGGTGCAATTATTGCACCAGTAATAAAGATTCCACCACTGGTATATCCAATACTTGGATCCACTCCTCTTATAAGTGAACTAAACATTACCGAAGATCCTTCCCTTTAAGTCTAAACCTTATAGCTACTTTTAAAACACTTATAATGGTCAGGTTAAGTACAAGATCAAAGGTACTTGACTACACTCAAATTCTTAAAAACTTGCATCACAATGAATCTACAAAAGCACAAGCATCTGATAAGTGATAACATTACTTACATTTAAAAGAAAAAGATCATAAAATGAAAGAAAAAGTGAGCTAGCTCACATACCCCACGCTCCCCCATAACTTGACGGTGAAACACATTTAATGAAAGGCACAGTGCACTTTAAATACATAATATAGATCAAAAAGGGCAATAATTGCAAAAAATCTTCACATCAAAATGTCTTGCATATGAGGACATTTAAATGTGGAATGAAGTGTTTCCAGATAAATTATGGAATCAAAATTTCTTGACAATATACAAATCCACACATTAATTTGAAGTGGGGGGGGGGGGGTGAGGGTGAGAAATTTTCTTGAATAATAGGCAAAACTCTTTGGGATAAAATAATGGAATATGTCCTATATAGCATATTGACGAAACTATGTACAACAGTTTAAGAGGAGTGGTGCTAACAAACTGTTCATCTCTATATTCAAAATATGGCAAAAAAGTCTAAGTTGAAAAGTGTGGAAATTCCCGGAAAAATAAAGGAATCGGAATTTCCTGGTAATATGCACATCTACATATTGTGTCCTAAATATCTGCAAAGTTTAACGAAATTCTGTGCAGCGGTTTATGAGGAGTTGCGCTGACAAACTGTTCATCTCTATATTCAAGGTATGGCCAAATGCCTAAGTTAAAAGTGCGGAAATTCCTGTAAAAAAAAATGGAATCGGAATTTCCTGGTAATATGCACATCTACACATTGTGTCCTAAATATCTGCAAAGTTTGACGAAATTCTGTGCAGCGGTTTATGAGGAGTTGCGCTGACAAACTGTTCATCTCTATATTCAAGGATATAAGTTAAAAGTGCGGAAATTCCCGGAAAAAATAATGGAATCGGAATTTCCTAGTAATATGCACATCTACACATTGTGTTCTAAATACCTGCAAAGTTTGACGAAATTCTGTGCAGCGGTTTATGAGGAGTTGTGCTGACAAACTGTTCATCTCTATATTCAAGGTATGGCCAAATGTCTAAGTTAAAAGTGCGGAAATTCGGAAAAAATAATGGAATCGGAATTTCCTAGTAATATTTTTGTGTTCTAAATACCTGCAAAGTTTGACGAAATTTGTGCAGCGGTTTATGAGGAGTTGTGCTGACAAACTGTTCATTCTATATTCAAGATATATAAATGGCCAAATGTCTAAGTTAAAAGTGCGGAAATTCCCGGAAAAAATAATGGAATCGGAATTTCCTGGTAATATGCACATCTACACATTGTGTTCTAAATACCTGCAAAGTTTGACGAAATTCTGTGCAGCGGTTTATGAGGAGTTGCGCTGACAAACTGTTCATCTCTCTATTCAAGGTATGGCCAAATGCCTAAGTTAAAAAGTGCGGAAATTCCCGGAAAAAATAATGGAATCGGAATTTCCTGGTAATATGCACATCTACACATTGTGTCCTAAATACCTGCAAAGTTTGCGAAATTCTGTGCAGCGGTTTATCTGAGTTGTGCTGACAAACTTTCAATTCAAGGTATGGCCAAATGCCTAAGTTAAAAACAGGAAATTCCCGGAAAAAATAATGGAATATAATATACATCTACAACATTGTGTCAATACCTGCAAAGTCCATGACGAAATTCTGTGCAGCGGTTTATGAGGAGTTGCGCTGACAAAAAAAGATATAATGGACTTCTACAAGAGACTGATGGACTGACTGACTGACTGACTGACTGACGGACACATCAAAAACACATACGTCCCGCAACTATGCGTGGGGTATAATTATAATTAAGGAAAACATTAATGAATATTTAGGACAACAAGCACATAACATTCCTTTGAGATTTTCTACAAAAATAGGCCTACAAAAAAAGCACAAAGTTCTATCCATGGCTATGAACACACATTTTATTTATGTTTTCCAGCGTCATTAAATCTTAAGACTCTAGAAATGCAGAAAGTGTGAATTGAGCTATTTTTTTCCTCCTGAATTCAATTTGAATTTTTAGATACAATATAAAATGATGAATGTATATCCTGTAAATTATCTCCTTTAAACAGACAAGGAAACAATTTGGCTGGCTTAGTCAGCATTAACAAACTTTAATACTTAGTATATTACTTTGTATCAAACAGATTGTGTAGAAAAGATGATATGGTCAAGGACATGCATTCAAAAGATATGCAAAGATTTAAGTTGTGCTAAATTTGAATGAACTTGGTAACCAAGACATTTAAGTTCAAGATAATAATTTTCAAACATAAACACATACATTTTCAACATGGGATACTGTATATTATTTATTGAATGAAAACGTTTTTTTTTTTTATAAATGTCACACTTATGAAAGAATATCAATGTGATAATTGACATAGAGAAAAAGGATATGAGAAGTGCAACAAAAACTTCAAATTTCCTCACCTTCTTAAAACGACAGTTGTTAAAAGTAACTCTTAATTTTTCTATGTACTAGTATTTCAATCTTGATATCTTTAATCTTCTGATATCTTAATCCAATCAATTTCAAGATAAACAGGGTTTGCTGTGGGTGGTTGTTTGTGGTGGTGGTGGTGGTGGTGGTGGTGTGTGTGTGTGTGTGTGGGGGGGGGGGGGGTTAACATATTTGTGCATGAGCTCATTGAATTCAAGATTTTATCAGCAGAAAAAAAACGTAATCTTTTTCCTGAATGACAACAATTTCTTGAGTGTCCTGTTATAGACACTTCTTATATTATCCTGATCCTTGCAACAAATACATGTGCACTTAAGGGGACTAGCCACAATTAACCATTATTGAAAACTTAATGTGTTAACAGTTTGAAAGTTCCTGGATCAAAAATATCTCCAAATTACATAATTTCTTGAATCACCTTCCCCCTTTTTTTAATGAGTATACATGTGCATAACTTGAAGTATAGGTATGTTCAATGAAGATATACAGTAAAACTTAAACAAAAGTAACCTGGTCAAAATGACAATTTTCTTTGTGTATTCTAATTTCAATTTATGGAATCCTCATATATCTCTCAGTTTTTTCCCTGTCCATTTAAGTCCATGACAACAAAGATTGACTGGACACATGCAACAAAAATCATATAAATTCATAAAAAATTATAAACATAATGAACATGATAAAATGCCATATAAATGGATGTGTATATACACTGACTAGATGTTAATAAAATATAACATAAACAAGATATTCTCTCATCAACTGTCACAGCACATCAAATATATAGTGACACAGAATATATTTAACAATTACACGAGCACCTTAATAAAATTCAGATTAACACAATGCAAAAGAGCATTTTTTGTGCAAAACCTTTGAAATTTAACAACCAGCACTTTCAATATCTACTGAGCTAATAGCTTTGGACGAATTCAGTGTAATAATGCACTTTCTAGCATGTAATATTATCTTACTTACATTTGAAAATGAATACAGAAATGTAAGTACAAAATTACAATACTTTGGAACTATAAGCCAAAATTAATTCTTGACAGTTTTTATTTGTGTATCATCACAAAAATGACACCCATCTGCAGCTACAATTTTTTGTATCTGTGGAACTATCACACAGTTAAAATAATGCTTTGTGGTGAGAAATATGCAAAAGTAATAAAGGTCTAAAAATTCACAGATGTATTTCTTGAAACAATTAAAACTTGTTGAATTACAGTAAATCATTACAAGTAATGAAAGTAATCAAAAAATGTATAGTTACAGTGAACTTTAACAGAATCTTTTAAAGAACCTCACTCTTACACTGACAAATTCACTGTATTTGTCATTTTTAATTATTTCATATTAATTATTCTCCTCTTAAAATAAAAATTTTACACTACATATCTGTATATTTCTCTTGAGTGTGACTAAAAAATATCACTTTTACACTTATTTTCCATTTTCCCTTGAGCATGATTAGTCATCTTTACTTTTTTCTTAATTTAAAAGGAATACATGTACCACGTTTTCATTGAATATTTACCATTTTCTCATTTACACATTTTCTCTTGAATCATATTTTTTTCTTTAAAGTATTTAAAATTAATTACTTTGACAATGAATATTTATCATTTTCTCTTGAATCATATTACATGTATCTATCTTTTTTCTTATAGTAATATCATTTTTACCCTGATTATTTACCATTTTCTCCCCAGACATATAACATTTACTTTTTTCCTCTTACAGTAACATCACTTTTACATTGAATATTTACCATTTTCACAAACTATTTTTTTTTCTCTTATTTAATATTACACTGATCAATGTTTTATCATCGGTGTTTATCCCTACTGCTTCCTGCACAATGAATCAAAGGAAATTCTTCAAAATCGCACATAAAAAGTCATATTGCCCCATTCCTTTGTTTTACATCTCCATCTTCCTCCACGTCTTTGGCTGCCTCCACTTCGCTGTCACTTCCTTTCTCAGTCACAGGGAGATAAGACAAACCTTTCACCTCTGCTTTTTCAGAATCCCCCACTTTGTCTAAACCTCCCATTTTCTCATCGCTTGGAGGTTTCTTCTTTGTGCAACACCTTTTTTTAATTTCATATGATATAATGGCAATTGCCATTGGGATGGGGGTGAAAATAGAACATACAATTGGAGCCACGATTCCTAAATCAGAGTCTGGAAGAGGCAGTGACAACTGAAGCATGACAATGGAAATCCCTGTATTTTGGATACCTGTCTCTATGGCAATGGTAAGAATTTTCTGTCTGTCATGTCGGGTCAGGAATGCGACAATAGCACCAAAGAAAAACCCGCAATATGGAACGAGGGCACCGGCCAGTAGTGTCAGAGGAGTGAGTAGTTTAAACACGTAAAGATTGGCGTACACTCCTACTGTAAAAACCAAAATTACAAAAATAACTGTGATTGGTCGAACTAACTTCTCAATGAACTTGGCCCACTTGGGTCTCTTTGTCTGTATCAGAATTCCGATGCCCACAGGAATGATCAGGCCTATCAGGGACACAATGATGTTAGTGAAGGGAATGGAGATTTCTATATCCTTGTAAATCACATTTACCCCTACACTGTATATCCAGGCAGGAATCAGGGCTAAAATTTAAAGTACATGTACATGCAACCTTTTGAGCCAAAATTTTCATATCACAATTCACACAGAATGATATAATTTCTTAGTTTGTCTATATTCATAGAGTTTTACAGTTTACTGTAGGTTAATTTATTTTTTAACAGCATACTAGTTAATAATCATTTCTCTCTCTATATATATATATAGCATTCACAAACTGCCTATATTTAATGAATGCACCAATAACCTTAAGGTTTTCAAATTACACATGCTGTAATGTGAATCAGAATAAAATTCAGACAATTATATTGTTTTTAAGTGTAATTGATTTTTAACTAAAAAAATTATGTCAGACACACTGACCTAGGGATGATAAGGTACTGATGAATGTCATGGTAACACTCAAGGACACATCCCCATCCAATAGATAACAGTAGATGTTACTAGCAGCTCCACCTGGTGAGGAACCCATAGCAAAGAATCCAAACCACAAAGCTGCATCTAGTCCAAGCAGGTAGCCAACTCCCAAAGATATCTACAATGTTTCATAAACATGTTGGATTTCATATATAATGATACATTATGATCATGATGATTAAAGGATATTTTTCCCACTTTCAGAGATGTTAAAAATGAGTCCCTAGTGCATTTATAAAATGCATATTTATTCATACAATATTATACAATTTCATTTTGCTGATGTATAATTATCAGAATTTATACTCAGTCTTCTGCTTCTTATCTAGAGGATATATCTCAAGAGGCATTTGAACTTTTGCAATGAAATTTTATATCACAACTCTTCATGGACTAAAAAAGAACACTGTCTGTTGAATTTGTGAAGGATAAAAGGCTGATAGGTAGGGTCATAAATCTATGTCCAACACTCATTTCCATGTGCAATAGTTTGAAAAGCCTTCAAGTTTTTGGCATTGAAATTCTATATAATACTAAATATCCTAATGGCCTCAAAGATTCCTATTGATCTTTCAGGTCAAATAGAACAAATGTCAAGGTCAAAAAATAACTTTTCAAATATCATTTTCCTCAGTTTTCTTTGGGTATTCAATTAAATTTAATATCACCACTCCCTCTGGCATAAATGAAGGCTTCTATTGATATTGAACGTAAAAGATTAAAGGTCAAGGTCAAAGATTCATATAATCTGTTCATGTATAACAATTTCATTTTTAGATGATATCTTAGATTTGAGCATCTGAGCTTTGGCAATGGAATTTTTATACCACAATTCCTTACCACAGGCGCTTGATGTTTTACATGTAAATCATTTTCTTCCTTCATAATTCAATTTGATCAAAATCACCCAATACTATATTATAGTATGGAGATATTTCATTGATGAACATGATGAACAGAAAGGTTTAAACACATTGTTTTCCCTTTATTTTAAAGTAAAGGGTTAAAGATCGATTGTTACAGGCTAAGGGTAGATGTTAATGAACAGAACTATGTTAACCTTTCAAGAAATTTTGATTTCTAGGTGGCATTTTTATCAGTCGAAGTGGTCAATTTGGCCGTCAGCCGGTTCTTAGGGAAAACACTGAAACATCAAGTGCCTGCATGTGCATGAAATAATTCAAATATGGAGATAACGAACTGTATTCAAGCTCTATAGTCCATTGAAATTGTTAGTAGAACAAACACAGTTCTTTTTAGACATCAGAGGTTGGATCAGGTGCTAAGAAGGAGTTTGTTTGTTGTTTAACGTTCCTCTTTAGAATTTTTCACTCATATGGCGACGCCACCACTTACCGGTGGAGAGCTGCAAATTTTGACCTAATGCTGGGCACTCAGAGCTACTGAGCATGGAGGGACCCTCACTGTGCCAGCATCCTACTGTGATACAGGACCTCTGTTTATATGGTCTCTCCCAAAGGTGGTGTACATGTCCCACGGTGGGATTCGAACCTGTAATATTTATAGGATCATTTTCCTTAAGTTCCAATAGCAGATGCTCTAACCACTGCACCATGCAGGTGATCCACGGGGTAGTGAGTATCCCCTGTCGACTGGTCACAGCCACTTATCTTCATATTTTATATCAACTATATCTGGGGAAATGTAAATTAATGAAGTAAATCTACAATAATAACATTATACTACCAGAGGCATGAGGATGAATTGTGACAGTAACCCTGTGACAGGTGCTACAGGTCTCTTCATAGTCTTCCTCACTTCCTTCAGTTCCGTCTTACAACCCATAGCAATGTTCGCCAAGCATACCAGAATGATCACAATGGAAGTAAAAATTGTATTGAGTGGACTGTCAGCTCGTTTAACTACAATGTCAACAGAATCATCAACTTTGTACCAGCTTTCATTCACAACACTGTCGCTTAATGCTTGACTGGGTTGCGTCCCTTGGAAATATTTGTTTACATACAAATGCAACTTGGCACGTCCTAAAAATTCACCGTGAATTCTAGTAGAAAAGTTCCCATGCTCTCCATCAGTTATATTATGATGAGTGCCTCCAATAACTGTGAAAATTTCTGTATCCGAACTGTGGATAAATACTTTGACAGGTCTATCCGTTTCGGTGAAATTGAAAGTCAAAATCTTGACCTCATTTTCCGTCAACTCCAGTCGTTGTCCATTTATCGACACGATTGGTGAAGTTTCCACAAGGCAGAATAAATACAAAAAATAAACTAATTCCGCACAAAAACTCATACTGGTTGTTCCTGACTATTGTATCTTTAAATATGGACTTTTTAATGCACTCAATAAAATTGCACCTCGCCAGGCCATGCTGATGAATAAGTATGCTCGGAATCCCTCTAAAGATTTCATACGTCAGTAAGTCACTCGGGGACATGTGGAGCGGATCTAATCATAGATCCGTTCTTGAAAGGTTTACTGTAGGATTAATCAAATCTTTTCTCGCAAATTTATTATAGCGTATTTTTTTTTTTAAAGTCTTAAAGCTATATGTGGCGTGCCTGACTGGCTTGAAAAATAACATTACGTGATTTTGAATTTGAATACTAGTATTTCTCATGTTTCTGTTTTTGTTTCTTATTTAAATGTGGAGTCGGTAAAAATAAGTCGGATAATGTTTTAAATTTTTTATCTTTGAACATGTTGAAATTTATAGCCATTTCAAGATTTGTGCTTAATTTATTGGAAAGTCTTAGAAATATTTTATATTTATGAGGTAATATCTAACAATTAAATGGAATGATGTTTTTAATATTGGTTTCTGATTAAAAATGAAAAATACGCCATATTATTAAATTAGTTAGAACTTATCCAAAAAAACTCAATTTTATATATGATTTTTTTAAATACCTTCTTCCAGGCATTATTTACTAAGTTAAATCAGTTCAGAAATTCAAATCAATATTAACAATATAATAAGTTTTTTTGCAACATACACGTGCACAGGCACGTAGCACCTGGGGGTGGGTGGGGACTGCCCCCTTTTTTTCCAGACATAAGTTTTTCTAAAGGAAATTAAAGGTTCATTGAAAGTCAGGTTGGCCCCCTCACTTTTGGTTGCAGTATTGTCAAATAAGGGTAATAAAAGGATAATGCAATGTATGAGTAAAAAGTTTGGTACTAAAGGAAGTTAGAGTTAGAACCCCCCCCCCCTCCCCTCCTCCCCGAAATAGAATTTTCGAGTTTGCGAAATTCTCCTTTTTTTGCCAAGCTTTTTTAGGGGAGTTAAAAAAATTTCTCGGGTCCCCCACCCTTTTTCAAAAACGATGCTACGTCACTGCGTGCATATGCGTGAAAATCCTTCCGATGTTGTATTCGCCGATAGCAATCAGAAAATTCAAGACAGGGTACCGATATTAAAATGAGATCAAATGACCTGGCACGTGTCCCATTTTCTATATACTCTACCATTATTTGAACAATGAAACCGTTTATGACTTTGAAATATTAATGTGGTCACCGAGTGTAACTGTCTATGCTTTGTTTATAAACAACCTTTCGTCTCTGTAGATATCAACCTGACCAAGATTTACAATTTTCGAGAGTTGCTTTACAGAGATAAATGTGTTGAAGCTTACAGATGGGCAAACAATAAGGACCATAAATCGTAAAGTTTCATTCAAAAACAACTTTCTACCCGTCAGTGATCATGAGTTATTGAATGGATATGATATAGAGCTCGAGGAACACCGACTTACAGCGAGCTACGAAACTTTTTTCTGGAAGTAAACATAATAATTTTGGACATCTTAGTGACAATATCAGGTAAATGGAAATTTCATTAGTTCTAAATTGGTTTATAATTTTAAAAATTGGGGAGAGAGATTCCGAATGTACATTTCATATATTTTACCATAGTAACAATTTAAATTAATACGCAAGAATTTACTAGTATCTATCTGGAGCATCTTGTTACTAGCTAATTATTTATACTGTTTATAAGTGCACTTTCATACGGTAATTACTAAATAAAGACTGTGCTTAATTAGTCCTCTAGCTTTATGCGTGGCACATATACATGTAATTAAGGCAGACACATAGTCCCTCTACGTATAAATATATCACAAAACTTCTCTAAAAAATAAGAACTGTTCTTTCCATTCATTTTTCAAACATATAATTATGTATATAAAAATTGTCCATTAATTTCAAAAATATCTAAAGAAAATTAAGAGACTTCTTTAAACAAGTTATGTATTTTTCAGACTACCTATGCACCAGCGCATATAAAGTCATTTAAGTAGTGAATTGGCACTAAATAATTGAATTTATAAAAAATCTGTTAATTGATTTCGTTGAACATGTAGGTATGGGTTTTGATGTGGAGCGCTTCTTGGGGACTGTGAACGAAGGCCTTCTCTGTTGTATTTGTCGTGACGTTCTGGAAGACCCCGTACAAGCTCCTTGTGAGCATGCGTACTGTCGCCAGTGCATTGAGGGGTGGCTGGTACACGAAAGTCGATGCCCAGAGGACAGGAAACAGTTATCGCTGTTGAACCTGAAGCCCTTGTTTCGTTATATGAAGAACGATTTAGATAAGTTACAGCTTCGATGTATTAATGCAAACCTTGGCTGCAATCATATAACTTCACTGGAATTTATCGAAGGCCACGAATCGGAGTGTCCACTTAGCTCTGTTCCATGCACCAATGACAACTGTAGTGCTACAGTACTGAGAAAGGATCTTGCAAACCATCTTGCTTCCTGTGAATTCCGTGCCCGAGAATGTCCGAACGGCTGTGGTATGCTCATGGTGCAAAGACAAGACAAAGATCATAATTGTATCACCGAGCTAAAAACGGCCATAGACGTGTTGCGTTCAGAAATGTCTTGCAAGATCGACGAGCAGAAAAAAGAAATGGAACTTAGACTGAACACACAGAGATGTCACATGGTCCAGAAGGAATCCTCCATGCAAACTCAGATGGATGAACTCAAGTCTGAAGTTTCAAGACTCTCTCAAAAGATTAAGCTTCTAATGGAGTTAGAAGTCAAGCGTAGACAGGACACGGAAAGATTAGAATTGGAAAAACGCGAGCTAATGGAACTGCTTCGCCAAAACCAGAACGAAACAGATCGTTCTCCTGGACATAAAGTTACTAAACGCCCATTTACAGGAAGAGTTACTGCAATTTGATTGTATAGAAAGCTGAACCGTCATATGACAAGTAAAATTTAATATAATGTCAAAAAAGAAATGAACTCTTAAACCTCAGTCTGTAGAACTGTAGTTTGGGTCAAAACTTGGGGCAGCAAAGGTGAAAGACAGAACAGTGCTTGTTAGTTGTTACCAATACAATTTTTAATAAAACTAGCAAAGTTTTGTAACAAAGATACTGTACATGACATTGAACGATTTGAAATTTTCTTATTTATTTAAAAGAGAAACCAGTGGTATTGTGAGCAATGAGCTCATTTAATGATACCCCCCTCCTGCCATATGAATATTATATGAGTGTCCATGTTTTGTAGTGGGAAACCCAAAAAATGTGTCAGATCAAAAAGTAAAATTAGAGGTGCACAATGGCAATATGTCATAAAGATTCTGTGAAAGTTTCAAAAAATTTCATTCATTGGTATGAGAGAAGTTGCAGATAAGAGAAGGGTACCCCAAAGCGTGACAGACGGACGTACAGACAGAGAGATGGGCGGACAACGCCGGACATACCGATTACTATATACCCTCCCACTTTTGAAGCGGGGGTATAATAAAAGAGGGATAGATATGATAATGTTACTACCGTTGTCAAACTTTACTAAAATGTTTTTGTTTTTGAAAGCAACATTCATGTAAATACTGGTCAGCTATATGTACGTATGAAATGAAATTTGAAATTGACTTAATGATCAATACACCCGTCTCTCTCCCTCACACATACACACACATACACACACACCCTTACCTTAATTGTCCTCTCCGCCTAGAGCTGTGTCGCCAGTTTGGAGGGTCCACAGGGCTTCCAGGATTTGTAGGATCAATTATGACCATCCGATCCCTTTGAGTCGCGGACGTTTGTCTAATTAAACAAATCCCAGGCATGAATATTTTGACAAATTCTCACTGAATAAAAAAAAACGCTTACTTTTGAAATTTCTTACCGACGCATTTATCATATATCCATTTAGTGAAATCTCTTGTCTGAGAGATTAAATAAAATTATTGTCGTAGCAATCATGTCTTGTGAAAGTTTTGGACGTTTTGGATATCACGATGACGAACCCGATGTCTATTTTTAAAGCACCATATATAGTGAAGTATCATCATATATTTGTTCAAGTATCATCATATAATGTTAAAGTATCATCATATAATGACAAAGTACCAGCATATAATGACAAAGTACCAGCATATAATGACAAAGTACAAGCATATAATGACAAAGTATCAACATATAATGACAAAATACCAGCATATTTATTATGATAAAATACTAGCATATAATGACAAAATAAAGGCATATATAATGACAAGGTATCAGCATATAATGACAAGGTATCAGCATATAATGACAAAATACGAGCATATAATGATAAAGTACCAGCATATAATGACAAAATACCAGCAATGTTTGCATCAAAAATATAATTTCTCCTTTCTACAAAAATATAGAAAAACTTTTTACTAGTTGATATATTAATAAGTGTCATGTTCATTTCCCCCAGGTTTTCGTTTGTTCGTTTTGTCGATGTTTTTTAATTAAATTCTTACGAATGAAAATCTTGAAAAATTAATATGTCGCACAAAAAAGGAACATTCATCAGAAAATACCTCCTTTGCATTGAACAAAATTTAAACCAATACTAGTATTAATGAAAATACATGTAATGGGAATTTTCATATCATGCATCTTCTGTCGACCATAAAAGATCGAGAAATGGTAAGTGACTTTTCTTTTTGAAAAGTGTTAGAATGACATACCAGGAAATAAGGAAATGTTTGTTTTTTTCCTTCAGAAAAAATAACAATGTCTCTTCAAAGACACACATTGTACAGATGTACCTGGACTTTCTGGACATTCTATTGACTGCTAAAGAAGAAGATGGTAATTGTTTGTCAAAGGAAGATACTGTGTATGTGTACTTTTTTTTTTTTTAAAGCGGGCTTTATAAATTATTTTAACGGCTTTTGCTCAGCAAGCGATGGGCGAATTTATAAATACCGCTAAATAATCATTTATAAATAAAAGGTATTATAGGGTTATTGAATATTGGCACAAGTTGGCTGTTCAAATGCACGAGCTTGCGAGTGCAATATTCACCAATATAAGTTCAATAACTCCTATATTGTGTAGCTAAAACATTTCCTCATAATTCATAATTATTCCAACTAAAAAAACACCTCAAATTAATCATTTTTTAGTATCGGTATTCAAATTAACGTCTGTCCTTTTAGCGTTCAATATCGCATCGATTTAGGTTTTAATGGGTCTAATACGTACTAAATTTTTAATAAATAATTCCACTTAACACATCTTACCTAGATGCCACTTCCTTTCTTAAATTTGACTTTGAGAATTTGACCAGACTTTTTTTTTGTTCAACAGGGCGTTTGATATTGAACGCTCGTATTCGGAATATTTCGGCTATACTCATATACGTGAGACAAAGTCAGCTTTCAATTAAATGTCGAGATATTGAATGCTAAAATTCTCTAGATTTTTGGTAGTATTTTATTAGAGACTATTTATGAGCTATATAATAAAGCATGTTAGTGTGTAGCGCTCATTCATGACTATGCCAATAACTCAATGCGCAGTGATTCCTCTAAAATTTGAATATGCCAATTTACGTACACGTACAGTATACGGGGGGTCATTCAATAAATAATGCAACATGTCAGTTAAAAGTAAGAAAAGTACGTAATACATATTCTTAACAGTTTCAATCCATCAAGGCATTTCCTGTTACCCTTTACGCGTGTCTTAGGTCTTTGTATCCATGAACAGAAATCCTCAGCATACTCGTCTTTAGGGATGCCACAAAGACACTGATGAACATCATTTCCCATGACATATCTGACATTGAACAATCTTCCTTTGATTGTTTTCATGTGTTTTGAGAATGAAAAGATCTCACAGTGGCTGCGATCAAGCTAATATGGGTGATTGAAAAGTCCTGTATACTTTCTTTTCTTCAAAATTTTATTAAGGTCTTCCAACGGAAGACCTTCTACTGATTCTGATGATTAAGATTATTCTTATTATTCTTTTTTTTTCCTTTTCCTAGACGTCAACTTTGAGGCCTCATATTTCACTCATTTCTCGATGGACTTTGCTCAAATTTTCAGAGTTGATAGACGTTACTAAACTCTATCAGAATGTTATCTAAAATTTCAAAAAGTCACTTCCAGTTTTGAGTTATTTCCCTTTAAACGAAAATTTATAGGCTTTCGTTTCCAGACAAAGGCTCAGAGACGGCTAAAGCTGGAGCAAAAATTCTAGTTTCTAGTTGAAAAATTCGACTGATTTTAGATAATAGAAGGATTGAAGTTGTGCATAGTGGTTTTTGTTTTTCGATTTCTCTATTCAAAATGGTGCTATATAGGGGTCAAAAATTAGAACGCCTAAAAGAGCGAAAATTTACACATATTTTGCTTTTTATCTTCTACACTAAAAATATTTTGTTAAAACATATAGAACAAAATTTGTGCAGAATTACAAGATCTTTTGAATGATATCTCGAAAAAAGGGCTGACCCCTAAATTAAGGGATCTAGAGGGGCCAAAAGTTTTTTCCAGATATCTCAAAAAGTATTGAGAATTTGTAATACATCCAAGAAGCAATGTTGTTCAAAATGTCAAGCTTAATCTAATGAAGTCGTCAAAATGCGTCCGGCGACGTAACTTCCGGTCAAACCGGAAGTAGTCAGAAAATGCATATTTTTGCTGTTCTTGACAAGTTTTTGGGTAACATATATCACAAGAAGCACAAAACTTAATTTTCTGTCCATCGACATCACTTCCGGTCAAACAGGAAGTAGCCAAAAATAGCTTATTATTTAAGGTTTTGATGCAAAATTGAAATTATAAAGTGACTGGAGACGACTAAGCTCATTGCTTTCTTTTTGCTGACGTCACTTCCGGTCAAAACAGGGCGGAAGACCTTCTCGTTGCTTTGCAACGAGCTTTGCTCTAGTTTATTTCTCTAATCGTATATGCAGTCGCGTTGTCAGTCACAAGAAAAATACCCTGGTCACGAATTTTGGACTCCCTTTGCAGGAAATCTGTTTAACTTTCCTTTTTGTAAGAAGATGGGGGGGGGGGGGATAAGGCGGGCAGAATGCATATAGCGCAACAGATAAAAAGTGAAAAATTTAATCTATATTCAAATTTTATTTCATATTTCATCTAATATTAAGGAAGGTCCATACCTTTACGGATCCGGTTTTAATTTTATACACCAATATAAAATTCTGATTATCACTTTTTTTGTAATAAAATATTTTGGTTGCTTGAAAATTATTTATTAAGTATATATTTATTAATTTATAGTATCAATTTGAATACAAAGCATTTAATATATAAAATTTATGGAAATTGATACTTTACACTTTGTCCATAGGATTTATATGCTTTTAGCACATACACAGACACAAAATTCTTAATTGCCTTTATGAACCTAAATTGTACTGTGTATATATATTTTTTTTTTTTTTTTTTTTTTTTTTTTTTTAACTTGAGGTTTATTTTATAGGTTTTAGGCCTATATCATCTTTTTAAATTTTACTTTCGTTTTAAATTTTGTAAAAAAATGATTGAAAAACTTAATATTCCAAAAATGGGGGTATACGTGTTCAAAGGGCTGTTTTGTTAAATTTTCTGGTCAATCATAAAAAGGTTTGTGTTTTTGTTAACCTTAAATATAATTCTTACTAATTTTAAAGAAAAAATAGCATGTAAACAATTCAGATTTTCAGAATTGTTAAAAATAAAAATATTTTGAGATTTTATTCTTAAAGACGTGGACAGATTCAACATCAATTTGTTAATGTTTTCCAGGAAAGATTTCAAATATTCTCCTGGCAAATGACTGTTTATTGTTTCCACAAGTTTTAATATAAATTTGATGTGATTTGGTGCATAACTAAATAAAATATGACATCACACTTCTTTACGTTAATTTTGGCTGTTGAATTTTTAGAGGTATGTACTCTGAGACATGTATGAAAATTAACCAGCAAAGATATGTCTTTTATGGGTGTTTTAGTTAGTTCATGAGTTATTCAAGGTTTTCAAGTTAAAAAATGATCAGTTTGACAGAAAATTTTGAAAGTACGGGCCTACCTTAATTAAAGTATACTTAATGTAAAATCTGTATAATTTACAAAAACCTCACAAAGACTGAAAATATTTGCCTATGAAAAAGCATACGCAGACTTAAAAGAATAAAAACGGTCAATTTTTCATACTTTAACAAAATATTTCAATATGAGTGGGTCTTCGCTCCATTTTTTTGAAAAATAATCATAAAAGTTTACGATAAAATAAATATTTTTTGGTTTACAAAAAAATGGAGCGAAGACCGACTATACCTGAAAAGTAAACTTTTATGACAAAACATTCGCATCTTTCCGAGAAATACTGGCCTTAGCCGCCATGTTGTAGGGCAACATATCCAGTTCCAGTTCTCTTCATTATTCAACCAAGTTCAATTTGTTATACTGGTTAATGAGGTAAAGGTAACACTATTTTTCTTATGAATATACGTTTGTCAAGGCTTCTATTAATTCATGATTTTAAAATTGTAAATATTTTCCAACATATATTTCTTGCATGCATATTAAAAATTGGTTGCTCAAAGAGGTAAATTCACTACTTTGCCCTACAAGATGGCGGCTAAGGGGAATAACTCCTAGGCAAAATATGTCATAGGAAAAGGGTCTATACGTTTCTTTACGGCATAAAGTACCCCTACGCCGTACAAAATAACGGATTGTATGGCGGCCTCAAAGAGAAATAATTTTAATAATTTAAAAAATTAGTAATTGGAATTATAAGAATTAAACTTTGTGTAGACTCTGCCTTTTTACTCACAAACTTTACATAAAAGTGCTTCGCACATTTATTCAGTTTGTGAGTAAAAAGGCAGAGTTTACACATCGATAAATTCTGAAAAAAGAACGTTTAATTCTTTTATTCTATAATGTTTTTCCTTTGTCAGAATTCTACAAAATGCTGTGACGATAAAATGTTTAGCATCTTAACAATGTCTTTCCATGTAAATATAGCATTTTCAAATTTCATGTGGCACATAAAGTGGATAATTTTTGGTCTCCCGACAAATCTTAATTGACCACATTGACTGCCATATTTGAATTCTCGTTTTTTCTTCTGAATTATTGAATCCATCTGAAAAGTATACAGCGTTAATAAAGATAATTTTTTTCAACATATAAAAATCATATATCAAATATGAGGTTTTCGATGATTTATGTAAAAAACACAATTTTCAAATACGTTCTTATTTTAATCCTTTTGGCATAGATCATTTATAAACAGTTTTCAGCTCAGTGTAGTGACCATGCTTACTTTAAAAATGAATTTCTTTGCGTTGACAATACTAGTATTTAAATTCGTGGGATTTTTTGTGTTTAAGAGCTCTTTAACAGAACTTTTCAAATGTGAAAAAATAAAATCAAATGCCTCAATGTTTATCATGAGATACATAATGTGCTATGTATTGCATTACTTATTGAACGACCCTCGTATGGAGAGAGGTGGATACATTTCTGTTTGAAGGTTATAAATTCTATAGCTGATTACGATTCTTTTCCTTAAATATGTTAGTAGAGCATTGTCTAAACGTAACTAAACATACTAAGTATGTTTGATACAAAATTGCATTTTGGCAATTATTTCTATATTTTTTTTTTGTTTTGATAAGTTAAGCAAATCATATTTTATGAAATATCTAGATAATTTTTTGACATCTGAAGTTTGCAAAATGCATATTTCAAATGCTGAAACTGATCTTAATTTGTGATATCATGAAGGAAAGTTATCAAACTAATGCAAATCGTAGAAAGAAAAGTTTTCGTTTACAGTTTACATTTAAATGGTTTTGAAATATGGCAATGACACATTTCATGTATTATTCTTCTTATATTATCTTTGCAGCTTTCTTTATTTGTACATATTTAGTATAGTACGTCCGAAATAACTCATCATGAAATTACTACTTTTAGAGTAATATTAATAGGCAACTTTTTTTTTTAAAAAGTAAAAAAAAACTGACAATTAATGACACGACGGCTAGTGTGTGCCATCTTCTGGATCCTGTATTCTTTGGCAAAACACCCAGATCATCAGAAGAAATGCCAGGAGGAAATTGACAGGGTTGTCAGTGAAAAAAATCTGGGGAACTTGAATGGTATAAAAAAAAATACAACTGGCAGTTTTTCCTTGATTAGAGAGAGAGAGAAAGAAAGAGAGAGAAAGAGAGATGCATAGTTCATATGTGGTACTGAATATTATGTGACTGTGTTTATTATATGATTTCGTGATGTTCCGTTGGAAGCAGATACAAGTAGCTGCCATTGTCATTGCCATTGCTTGCATTTTATTCTAATTTTTTTTCTTAATTTAGGAAAGATCTTTAGAAACTGGAGTACCTTACAAAGTGCATCAAAGAAGGAATGCGACTACACTATCCTGTCCCTGGAATTCTTAGAATCAACCAGTCCTCAATCACAGTTAATAATCATGTAATCCCAGCTAGAAGTACGATAGTCATCCATATTTACAGCTTACACCACAATGCTGAAGTCTGGGGAGAGGACCACATGAAATTTAAACCTGAAAGATTCACAAAAGAAAATATGGAAAAGAGAGACTCATTTGCATTTTGTCCATTTTCTGCTGGTCCAAGGTAAACTGAATAAACGAAATACCAGCTTTATTCTTTTATAACATGATTATTTATGGAGGATTTGAATTTTCTTTCTTAAGCTAACAGAGAAGTTTTGTAAGCTTGTTTAGTTTTGACGACACGCCAATAAATTTATTGAGTGTGAGTATTTTTCTTTTCTCTAAGGTTAATTGATTATTTATTTATACATTGTATATATTTATTTAATATTGTAAGCAAAAATGTTGAAGCGAAAAAAATTACAATAATCTTATTTCATCTATTTATACACAATCTAAAAGGTTTACATTTACTGTGGACGCACCCCGTCTTTAGACGAGATCACCCGTGGGTTTCCGACGATGTTTGTTGCCGAAAGGTGAACTCTTTACGCTCTGTTACGCTCCGAACTGAAAGATCCGCTTTAGTGAATATTCAGAAAATTTCTTGTCCTGAAATGAAACTTATCTTCAAGCAATAATTGTGCAAAAAAAGAAAAAGAAAAAGAACCAAACAAACAAACAAACAAACAAATATCGGAAATAAGGTCATAATTATATCAGAAAAAGCAATAAAATGCAAATGATCAAAACTTGTCAAGATAATTTGTTTTTGAGCATTTTCAAATCAACACAGAGGGCGTATTCTGAGGAAGTACGAGTACATTAGGTGAAGAACTATGTTTTTTTTCTATCAAAACACATGATCTTCATTTATATTTCTATTTCAATTGTTTTCCATCTACATTGGTTGAAACGCATATCTTGAGAAGCTGCAATGCGGGCATTTGTTGACCCAAAGTGAATTACAAGCTTCCTTGGCAATCGGAAGTTGGACGGTTATTCGCTATTCGCTATTCACCATTCGAATGGCGAACCGCAGGCTGTCTACCGGTTCGCTATTCAAATTACCGTAAATGTCCTAATAATTTTTTTTTCAAAAAACTTTAAAAACGCATCATAATCCGTGTTTAAGAAGAAAAGCAAAGACTTCACTTAAAGAAGAGGACTGAGGACCCCAAACCAATGCAGTTAGCCTGACCAAAATGATGACTATTTAGCTAGTCTGGTCAAAATTGGATAAAAAAAACTGTTGAATACAATAATAAGTATTTGTACATCTTCAAATTTTTAAAGGGGAGGGGTATGGGAGGGACCCTTCCACTGTCAAATGGAATTTATTTTACAAGACCGGGAACCCATTTAGCTAGCCCGGAGAAAATTCGGAAAAATCCCTTTTATTTCTATTTTATGTTTTTTGAATAAGAGTACATTGCCCGGGGGGCTGGTAAACATCCTGGATCCATATTTAGACCTTCATATTTTTACAGGGGAGGGGTATGGGAGGGACCCTTCCACTGTCAAAAGGAATTTATGTTACAAAACCGGGAACATATATAGCTAGCCCGGAGAAAATAAAAAAAACAAACCTTATAATTCTATTATATGTATTTCCTAATAAGGGTACATTGCCCGGGGGGCTGGCTAACATCTTGAATCCCATATTTCGACCTTCATATTTTTACAGGGGAGGGGTATGGGAGGGACCCTTCCACTGTCAAAAGGAATTCATGTTACAAGGCCGGGAACATATTTAGCTAGCCCGGTCAAAATTGGAAAAAAAACCCGTATAATGCTATAATAAGTAGAGAACATTGCCCGGGGGGCTGGATAACATCCTGGATCCCATATTTAGATCTTCATATTTTTACAGGGGGGGGGGGATGGGAGGGACCCTTCCACTGTCAAAAGGAATTTATGTTACAAGGCCGGGAACATCTTTCGCTAGCATTGAGGAAATGATGGTCAAATTAACAATCAGAAAGATTCCTGTAACAATATAATCTTCTTCTCCACTATTTGTGCTGAAGACATCAAAATCGAATAAAGTTTCATACCTTTATCTTAAGGACAATACAAAATATGATAAATACTTTTCAACAAAAAACAACATTTTATTAATTTTTGATGTCTTGTAAAAAAAAAAAAAAAAAACAAAAAAACTATGGAAATGTTTAAGCAATTCAAGATCATTAAGCAATAACTTTTCCCACCATAATGTCATTCATTCTAAGTAACTTCATGTAGAAGAAAACTCTTGCTGTAGCCTTTAACTCAACATTAAAATATATACTTTTTTTTCCCCAACATAACCTTTACTGTAGTAAATGTTCATTGATAGGATGGTTGGCCCCCCACTTTATAACCATAGTAGTATAGTGATATAAAATTGGAAGTGATAGTAAGTTAGTAAGTTGGAAGAAAACCCCCCCCGAAATAGGATTTTCAAGTTTGGGCAACTTTAACTTTTATCCTTTTTTTTTTTTTGCTTGTCAACTTTTTCAGGTAAGTAAAAAAAATTTCTCTGGTTGGCCCCCCCACTTTCAAAAACGATGCTACGTGCCTGTATATAGACAAATAACAATACTTACTGCCATTCAAATATTGACTTCATATTTCCCAGTGAACATGAAATGGAAGACACCATAGATTCTGCCATGTCTATTTACCTGTTTCATATTTGGATGTTTTACTGTCTATAGACGATAGGAGTCTAATTACAACTAAATTGTATGACAGACGTGATGATTTCAGCTTTTTCATCATCAGCTTTCCTTAACTATGTAGTAATATTTTGCTATCGCCTGCGTTTCCCATTTTATTCGATACTTAAGAGCATGTTCTGAACGCGATCAATTTTTAACCAGGGTGTACAAACTACTTACAGTGAAGTTGATGTTGCAGGGATTTCAACATCCTCGCTTTAAATCAGCATTTCATAAATAACATATCAATGGGACGTATTTTGACTGATATGTTTCATACCAATTTTTAGCCCCTTTGTTATGCAAATCATGTTATTTTACTGTTTAATATGAATAAGGGGATGTTTCAACGTCGAGATTTAAAGTTGAATAGGTAAAAAATATGTGTTTAAGATAGTTCAGACATGCTTAAACCACTTCTTCGACCGACCGCCATAGTTTTGCCAAAGATTTTACATGTACTTATGTCCTTCTTAAGCATGGTCTGAGATAGTACCCTTTATGTTACGACCCCCTGATCAATATATAGTGCACTTGGCGTGTGGGATCGGTCAACAGGGGATGCTTACTCCTCCTGAGTATGTGATCCCAACTCTGGAATTCCCGGAGCATGCTCTAGCGAATCGAATCAACTGAGAGAGATATAAACCCCGTATACAGGTGATGAGGGTATATTTCTGCATAAGTAAGGGAATTTGACGATTGAAAAGTTAAAGTCGTCACGTTTATCATAAAGATTTATTGTTAAATTACCATTAACATCTTTTTCCAGTAAAATATCCAAATATGAAACAGATGCGCCATACTCTTTGGTATCTTTTATTTCAAACAACAGACTAGTGATTTATATCTATAATTTTTTTTCTATTTACAATCTTAGTCAAAAACAGGCAACTCGCTAAATCATGTACTTTGTTATATGAGTAAAAATGCCATTTAATCATGTAAGTGACGAAAAAGACAGCATATAAAACAATACAAATACTCAACTTTCTGGCCATGGAATATAAAGTCAAACATACAATGTTTAAATCTGACATGATTCTATTAGAAACATTATGACATGATGACCAGCCACATAATAAATCCCAGCAAACACAATTTAAAGAAAGTGGCCGTCCATCTGGGAGCTGAGGACGAATCCAAACGCTAGAAAAATTGGAGATTAAATGTGGCGAAACACAGGGGACTTCATGATTAATAACTATACCACAGACGTGTTGTCTTATGTACAAGGTTTTGGGTCCTTGTGGTATCCTGAAATTTAACAGACATAAAAATTCAAGTTTTTTCTCGTGTAAATTACACAAGATGGTGATTAATGAATTTGAGCGTACAAAAAGTTTTTAGAACTGTACCCAAACGCTTTTTAATTAAAATTTCCAATAAAATATGTTCGAACTAATAATAAACTTACTAATCATAATGGTAAAAAATGAAGCAAAAAGCCGTAGATAAAATACACATGGAATACAGTCCCAGAAAGGTGGAATCTGAGTTACGCAAATGCATTCATTTCCTGCTTGTCACACATCTCGATGTGGGTGTAAATACAAAGATTATTACAGGTCAGTTTTTAAAGCCTGCATTTACCCTAGCAAGGTCAAAATAAAAACTAGTACACAACAGCAGTGATGGGTCTTTATATTGTAACATTAATGAAAAAACTCGAGTCCAAATTAAAGGTTTAAGAAGTCTCTCAATCCTGATTTTTAATATACAATGTCGAACTAATGGTAGACAGGTACGAATTCAAGTTAATTCTGAAATTTATCTTTCCAAATTCCACCAGGAGAGTTATTCTACTTTTTGATAAATTTGAACTTTACGGAATAAGGTCATTATTAGGTGGACTGAGTTTCAAACAATTTAGTATCTTTATGTACGTATATCATTCATTCATTATTTTTTTTCTGTAATGTTCGTCACATTTCAAATATTTCATAGACAAGTTGATATATTTGTATTTTCCAGTAACTAGTCTAAGAGAGTTGCTGATTGATAGTGCTAATTTTAACCAAAAAAAGAGAGAATATTTAAGGACTAATGGAACAAACTTTTCTTGAATATGATGAAAATAACGAGTAAACTATATTTAATTAATGAAATAAATAATCCTAACCGCACTTTTCTTAATTTTAAGTCAAAAAAGTCTAGACTTATATGTGTGATAGACAAAAAATCAGAATTTTGAAAATCATAAGTTAAATTTCTAATTGTTTGAAATGTTTTAATATTTGCGTCATTTACAATCAAAATACCGTATAAGTGGAAATTTTAGCGAGACGCAAATTTAGCGATTTCTACCCAAAATCTGGTATTTTATTTTTAGCGAGAAGTAATTTTAGCGATATTAAATTGCTTACTAAAGTAGATATTACAAATAATAGCAATTAATTTTAAGCGATATTTAATTTTAGCGATGTCAGCACCCTCGCTAATAATTCCAAAATTAAAACCTCGCTAAAAATTCTACTTATACTGCATGTCCAAAAATATGTATAAATCCAGGCATCCATTTTTCGTTTATATTATCTGTCCTTAAAACAAATGAAAAAATTGTACTGATTCACCCACCACCATTACTTGTGAACAGAATGTCTACTTGATTTGTTGCTTACTGATAATGGCTTATATTTACATTTGCAAATGTTTTCCTTTATATAACACTACTGAAAGCAAGCGTTTTTATAACTGTATAAATGCAGGTACGGGGTCAAGAGGTCATAGATGTTCGTATGGATAAACGTTCGACGTAATTTCTCTGTGACGTCATAAAGGGTCGACGCGCGGTCAGTGGATTACATGCATGCCGTTGGGTTTGAAAAATAATGCATTTCACACGTTAAAAGTCACAATCAGGCAAGTTTAAAGTATGAATAAGTCACAAATGTAAATATAAGTAATAAGGTATCATTTTTTGAGTTTTATTGGTTTTATTGGGATGTAAAACGGGTTAGCACATGATCAAATCTTCCATAAAGCCCTTCGAGCTTTATGGGATTTGATCACGTGACCAACCCATTTTACATCCCAATAACACTCAAAAAATGATACCTTATTTCTTAAATATCTAAAAAAAACCTTGATAAGTTAAACTTATCGATAAAATAGTTTACTCTCCATGATCTCCATACTTTGTCTTGATAAGTAGAATGACAACCTGTAAAACTCTCAACTTATCGAGTGTCCTATATTTATTAACTTCGGTCACATACATTTGTTTTGGAGGAATCGATCATGGCTGTGATCCTTTTGATAGCTCTCATTACTTTTGTGGTCGTTGTACTAACACAGCTATTTATCAATTACATCAAATTAAAGTATGCTTACCGAGGACTTCCTGAGCCTACTTACGACAAATACTGGCTAGTAGGACATCTACCACATGTATGTACAATGTATATAATTTGAAATTTGCCTATGGTGTCATTTGCATGTTTGAACTCTCCATTATTATCAGGAACGGAGAGTTGTCATCTCAAGGAGAACATACTGGCTAGTACTTTTTAAAAACTTATTATAATCAGATTCTCTTCCATACATCTTGTTTTCTAAGTTTTTATGGATTATGCTTTAAGTTAATTTTATGCAAAATGGGCAAAATACCCGGTACATGTATTTTGGTGTCGAAACAAGTTTCCTTACCATGGAAGTAGGGTACTTGAAACCAAGCTATTCAGACCAATGCCGAAATGGGATATTTGAAAAACTTCGTTAAGTATTTGTTTTGCCATCCTACGGGAATTATGTAATACTACAAAATAATACAAATGGTATATTTGTCCAACATTAATTGTCAGCAAATACAATTTATCATCGAGTCAAATGCTGACAGACATTTTTCATGCTAATTGCAAGGCCGTTTTTTACACACTGAATAAACATTATTGTCAATGGATTTTTTTCGTTGTCTCCCGATCATAATAAGGAGCACATGGCGGGTGTGACCGGTCGGCAGGGGATGATCACTCCTCCATGGCACCTGATCCCACCTCTGATGTTCTGGAGTTCCGTGTTTGCTCTGCTCTTATTTTGTATTGTATTGTTTCATCGATTTTTGAGCTAAAATACTTTTCGTTATCTCCATTTATTTCATTTAGGAGGAATGAACAGGTACTTGGACATTAAACTATACGTAATAAATCTAAAATTTTATTTTAGGTCATTTAATTAAATTATTAACACTGGTCAATAAATCTATAGTCTTACCGCGAAATTTTTAGAGGATGAATTCTATATAAAGATTTGAAATGTAGGGCGTAATGTTAAACTGATAGTTATATTTCAGGGTCTAATGTGCCTTTTACATTACTCTGTTAGAATTTTCACTCAGGTTTGATTGCCACAGTTAACGATGGAAGGCGGCAAATTGAGGTCTTTATAGGGCATTTAGGTAAAAAAGCAGTGAAAAATCAAATTTTTTTTTATCCCAGCATCTACTGCAACACAATCTTTTAAGTTTATACTTTGTATTACTAATGACACTTCAGAAGTCAAATTCGTAAGGCAAATAGTCTGGTATGGATCTGCATAATACAAAACTACTTGCTAAGGAGCTATCTAAAATAACTCTTTAGCTTGCCAAGTTATACCTTTTTAATATTTAAAACTGAACTCATTTAAGGTCTTTCAAAGAATCCTACTGTCATGTACAAGGGAAAAGTAAATACATGTACTATGTCTGTTAAGTACAAGGTTAAAGTTCCATATGAAGCCGAAAAGGACACCTCAACTACAATAGAATTACATGTAACATCTTGAATGTGGTAAATGTATACTAAGATGACTGTTATCTTAGTTTTATGATGCCGAATTTTTTTTTCTTCTTTCGTTACCTTTTTTTTAGTTTCAAGGAGGGGTTTATGACCAGTATATAATGGATAAGATGATTGAATGGATGGGAAAATATCGACACCTGTTTGTTCTCTGGGTTGGACCAACCGATGTGTGGGTGGAACTCCATCACCCAGAGTCTGTGAAAAAGATACTGGTCACAGCAGGTATCAGAATGCTCATAACAAACCATTAGTAGGTGTCATTATGTAAAAACGAATGGAAGTTTCTCCACTGATATTGACAGCACTTTCTCACATTGTCAGTTTAACACATATAGTCAGACGAAATGTGCCTAATACAAAGCTGAAAATTATTTTTATACTACAAAGCGTAGCTTTGTAGTATGTTCAGAGGACTTCAAAAATTTTTTAAAAAATAATGAATTAAAATTAAAATAAAAAAGTGAAAAAAAAATTAAATTAAAATAAGCTAAATGAAATAAATTACAAACCAGCGAAAGTATGTTCGAGTATTTCACAAAAGTTCACATAAAGGAACCTTGTCCATGCTGGATAAACTTCATAAAGATATATTTACATCCACTGAATATTTTTTTCCTTTATTTCTTATGAAAACCATTGCCATTAATCAGTGCATGAACAACACTAAGCAAGCCACGTGTGTAGTTTTCTTGAACAATGGCTGTTCCATCAGTTCTACATACAATGACATATTCATTTTAAAAACAATAGTTAACAAATTTAATTTTACTTACATGTAATTTATATGATTTTCAAAACAAATGTAAACATAAACAATAAAATGTTTTCTGTTTGTTAGTACGGGAATTAATGTCACAGCAATTGCAGAAAAAAATTACATAACCCGCTTAATACACCCAAACCATAGACGTTTTCATTCTACAATAAACATTATTGCTATATGGTGCATATCTCAGCATTTTGTAAAACTGTAAGTATCAGGTTAAAAAAAAATGAGGAAAAAAATATGCAATCACCGTTAGTCTGGTGGTTCCAAAATATAATTTTTTTACAGATCCCAAGGCCGTTGGATATGGTCAGGTATACAGACATGGAATTCCGTGGCTGGGAGAAGGACTTTTGATTGCAGGTGGTGCCAAATGGAAACGCTCAAGACGTCTACTCACCCCTGCCTTCCATTTTGACATCTTGAAACCATATCTCAAGATCTTTAAGTCGTGTGCAAATATCCTAGTGGTATGCCGTTTCAGATATCCATGATTTTTAATCTGAGCAGCTGATGTTCTAATTCTATTAAATAGATTATGTAGGTTATCATATACCTATCTTTTGTCTGATTTCTGATTTGCTATCTCCTGCCTATTTGTCTTTTGGGTTGTTAATCTCTAATAACGTAGACTTTCAGATACGACGAATGTTTCATCAGTTTTTAATGACTTTGGTTTAAAATGTAAGATGAGTCAAAATACTTTCTTGTCATGCAAGCTGTCACATCTTGAAAGAGTAAAGAGATAACCTTAAGGATTCTTGTTTAGAATATTAATATTGAAATTAAATGTATATTTAAAACGTCAGCGTGAGAAGCCCTATAGTGTTAAGAAATAATAAATGTCTTCCTGACGGTTGTATGTAGCTTACACATGCAAACATAACTTCTTCAATATATTTTTTTATATATTGTTATTAAAAGTAGGTACATGTATTCAATATGAAAAAATCATTTATCATCTTTTTATTTACTATACTGACATATCAAATTATCCCCTGTGCAAAAAATGCATAAACACGCTAATATATCATTTGAATTTCTTTGTCAGAATTCTGGTCTTTGAATTGCTCTAATTAATGTATAATTGATATAACCTTCAGAAAAATATAAAGATTCAGTCAGAAAAAGGTGACAGTGTGGAGATTTTCAGCTTGGTCAGTTCTTGTACCTTAGACATTATACCCAGATGTGCTTTCTCATACGAGTCAGATTGTCAAAACAGGTTTGGAATCAAAACTTTACTAAATCAATTTTCGTATACAAAAAAAAGATTTAAACAAAACAATCAGTGTTTCATATTTTTAACCTCGATAGTTAATTCAAAGCACCAATATTAAATTTTGATATATATTTATAAGCTGCCCGTCTTTGAAAAGTCACTCTAAATAAACAACACGCTTTTGAGGGGTTTTCTTTTCAAATATTGTTAAGTAACTTCTACACATTAAAAAGCAAAAAGTAAAGGTAGACTTTCAAGATAAAAAAGACATTGTGCTTTATATTTTACACACTTCTCGGTAATAAATATTTTCAGTATTTAGACAATTAGCATGTTAAAATGATTTGGCAAACTAATTAATTACAGTATTTTATTTCAATCTAATGAATTTTTTGAAGTAAAGAAAGAAATCCATATATCCAAGCTGTGTATGATTTGACATTGGAATGGACACGTAGAAACGGGTAATTTTTGAAAATAATGTTTCTATTACGGCAAAAAAATTTTATAAAATATATACGAAATAGATTTACTCTACTCTCTTATTTATCTAAAAGTATATTCAAGTTAAGTGAATTATCTTGTTCTTTTGTAGTTCTCCATGGCTTTATTCAGATTTTATTTATAATCTAACAAAAGGTGGCAAGAAATTCAAGGAAAATTGTGATTTTGTGCATAAAGTAGCAGATGACGTCATTGAAAAACGTCGCCAAGCTCTGGTAGGTGACTTTTTTCAAATGAAATGAAATAAGTATGGGCGTTTTTTTTATGCCCCACCTATGATTTTTGGATAAACAAAATGTATTTGTTAATTTAATTTATGCACATGTTTTTCATGATTGTGTAATGCTTGTCATTTTGTATAAATAGCTTTTCTGCATGATTTCTTTTGTCATTAATTATTAGATCAAAATAAATGATATTTTTTCAATTCAAACTATCGTCATTTGTTTTTGCAATATCAAACGAAGAAAAACTATTGTCAGTGTATTTGCATAAAATATTTTTGAAGCTTCAGAAAGATGACGAAGTTTCATCAAAGAAATACCTGGACTTTCTCGACATTTTATTGACTGCCAGAGACGAAGATGGTAACCGTATGTCAAAGGAAGATATACGTAATGAAGTGGACACATTTATGTTTGAGGGTTTGCTGTTAACATGTTTATTCCAAATTAGCATAAATATTTATATCAGCTGTATATCCAGAGACAAGAATTATCAAACTCTATTGCTGTCTCTGGCAACACAACAAAGCAAAGATTACATAATCAAAATTAAAATATTCAAATTCAGGTTCAAAGTTCATAGTACGGAGGTCAAAATTCACAAATTCCATCTCACAAGCGGTAAAAACCTTGACCCTGCGAGGTGCAGAAGTCAAGCACTTATTTACATATATCTAAATCCAAGGTTTACTTTTAATTTTTCATGAATTACATCACTGCGTATAAGGATAGTTACTTAGTGCCGCTCGTTTGCGCACATCTCAGCTGGAAAAGAAAAGTAGAGTCAGATTCTATAAATCCACATTATTTTTTGTGTACTGCAGGAATGATGCAAGGTTTGCTCTTAGAATAAAAATTAATCTCTTTCACATCTTAAGGTATCCGACCCATGAAAGGACATAATTTTCTAATCTTAAATATCCATCTCGTATTGAAAACTCTGAAAGAAGGATATGGAGATAATCAACAGTATTCAATATCAAAGTCCAGAAAACAATACAAAATAGGAGTAGAGCAAACACAGACCTCCGAAACATCAGAGGTTTGATCAGATGCCATGAAGGAGTGAGCATCCCCTGCTGATCGACCACACCCGCCGTGTGCTCCTTGTCGTGACCGGGAAATAACGGGAAAATCCGTCGTCAATTCAGTATATAAATAATGGACTAATGAAAAACGCCAGTAAGCATTTGTCTCAATGTTAAATTGTATTTGCTGACAAGGTCATTGTATCGTCCATAGAATTTACGAAATGGACTTTAAACGAGACTGTTGTGAACTAATTCAAAGCAGTTTAGAGTAGAAAAAGATTTACATGTAGCAGGAGAAATTTTCAAAAATATGATTACCCGAGCAATAATTAATTAAAAATACATTGAGGTCTATGGTAACAGCAATTTTTTTAGATAAAAAATTGAATACTTTGAATTACAAAATGATATGGTCGAAAGATGTATGTACTTATTTAGAATAGAAAACGATTAAAAATTAATTTTTCAGCAGATAGATTTTTAAAAAAATGAATCTTATTAATTAAAAGCAAAGGGGGAAACTCTTCAAAGACGGGTCAAGGTCAAAAATTAGGACACGTTCCGCTCTTACATATTGACACTGAAACACCGAGTATTCAGCCAATATATACTAGTATCTGTTATGCATTCAGATTCATTGAATTTGAGGCTATTATGGATAGGATACCTTAAGACATGCAAGTTGGGACAAAGAATATACATAGCTGTTCCTTAGATCATATCCAATGAATTTCTTGAAAGCCCAAAATTTTGTGAGCTTGAATACTTTTGGCTGGTTCCTTTTGTTGTTTCATTTGTCGATATTTTTATCTCAAAAGTCCAACATGTTGAAGTAATGATTGGATTTAAAAATGTCATGTTTAGATTTATATCTGCTTTGAGTCTTCATCTAAAAATACAAGAAACAAACAAAAAACAAAAAACAAAAAAAAAAACCAGTATCTATTCTAAATGGATATTGTGGGTAGGTGTTTCAGATGAATAATACACAATAACAAGAACAAAAATTTTTACCGATTTTTTAAAAAGGAAGCTTCAACCAAAGCGCCCTAAAGTGTTTATTTTAAATGGGACAATATCAACTAAATATTTAACAAGAAAGATAACAATTAAGAATAAGTACTGAGATTAAGGTAAGGCATGTATGCATTTTATTTCGACAACAACATCTAATTCAGGAGGAATTATCTGTGAATAATAAATCAGAGAGTATCGTGCCTGTATCATGTAAATGAAAATTTTAAATGCCACAGTTTCTTTCGTTTTAATTAGTTGCATTGAGGTTCCTCGATAAAAGTACCTTCGAAAAAAAAAAAAAATTTTTTTTGCAATATGAAGTTTGCAAATTTCAATGACTGAAACGGTACATACCAATTAATATGTGATAAGTTATGAACATTTGAGCAAAACAAGTACAAGTTAAACATTTTTGGAGAAAGAAAACTGACATACGGCCTTATGTGTTAACATTTAAGGAATGTTTTAAAGTTTTGTGTGTTATTGGTGTGTAAATCACACAGACTTGTCAACTAGGCATATGCCTATATGCAAGTAGCGCGCTTCATGAAATATGCCTACGTGCAAGTCTGTATGATTTACACACCAATAATTCACACTAAACTTAAAAAAACATTCCTTATATTTACATTTTACATGTTAGAAAACACCAAAAATATACTCAATATTTGAATTTCTCGCTGCCCTATATCGTTGCATTTTTACTAAAATGAATGAAGCTGTGGTCTCATTGAGACGTAACGTTAGCGCGAAATTCTCCGTGTTTATTTCTACGCGTTAGTAGTATACACGAAAATTGTTTTAAAGTAAATTTCACAGTTGACTTAGAAGAAAAACACATAGAATTTTGCTATTTGCTTTGAATTAATTAATCTTTTCTGCTTTTGTGTGCATTATGTATGCTAGAAGTACATGTAACATTTCAGCTTCATCGTCAAATTTGTTAACTAGTAAAATGGCTTACCTTAAACAGGTCATGATACCACAGCTAGCGCCATCTCTTGGATCCTGTATTCCTTGGCAGAGCACCCGGATCATCAGAAGCAATGCCAGGAGGAAATTGACAGGGTTGTCAGTGAAACCAAGTCTGGAGAACTCGAATGGTATTACTTTAAGACAAATGTCAGCTTTTCCCTGGGAGAGAGAGAGAGAGAGAGAGAGAGAGAGAGAGAGAGAGAGAGAGAGAGAGAGAGAGAGAGAGAGAGAGAGAGAGAGTCTGGAATTCATGAATAAGATTATGTAATTAATTTGTAATAATAGTTCTTTATAAACGTTTCATTTTCCAACAGAAATGAATTCAAGCAATGCATATACCAATGTAAATATAAATATTTAATATCAAAATATTAATTCAGGAAGGATCTAGAGAGATTGGAGTACCTTACACGGTGTATCAAAGAAGGAATGCGGCTACACACACCTGTCCCTTTGATCATTAGAAACAATCAGTCTACTATCACTGTGGATAATGAAGTTGTCCCAGCTGGAAGTACGATACTCATCAATATTTACAGTTTACACCACAATGCTGAAGTTTGGGGAGAGGACCACATGAAATTTAAACCTGAAAGGTTCACAAAAGAAAATATGGAAAAGAGAGACTCGTTTGCATTTTGTCCATTTTCCGCTGGTCCCAGGTAAACTAAGTATAATTGATAATAGTTTTATTTTTTCCTTATTCTTTGTCATGATTGACTTAGTACATGACAGAATTCAAGTTTTATCATAAATTACAGAAACTGCATAGGACAAAATTTTGCCATGAGCGAGGAAAAGATAGTTTTAGCAACTCTTCTTCAAAGGTAAACTCGGAAAACAACTATGAAAGATGTTATACATTTGTTGGCATTTTACTGACTGTTTGCTTTTCATTAAGTGTTAGTTTATTATTAATAACAAAGTGTTTTAGTTGAAGTGTTGAAACTAGAAAATTTTGAGTAATTATATATTTATAAACTGTCCTTAAGGTTTACGTTTACCGTGGATGAAAAACACATTGTTGAGAAGCAGGTGTTAGTAGTAATGCGAGCTAAAAATGGCATTAAACTGTTTGCTATTCCAAGGTGAACTACGTCTCCACTGTCAACTTCAATGCTGATGTCCGGTTGGCCAGATGGACATTCAAAGTTCTTCTTGTATGAAAATGAACCTCAATTTTTTTTACGATAAATATGGGAAGAAAATATTTAAAAATAAATAATGTCATAAGTTTATCCTTAAATTTTAAAAGTATAATAAAAAAAATATTCAAGATAAACTTGTTTTTATTTTTGAGTTCTTCAAATTTACATGACGGACCTGTATGAAGGGATACGGGGAAATTAAATATAGCATTATATTATACAGGGCATCATTTTCCAGAAACAAATTATCCGGAACTTCACTTTCCGGACGATTTGCTTTTCAAACAGAATTATGATTTATGTCTACAAATAGTAATAAAATATTTTCTTCTTTAACCGGGACCTTCATTAATAGGGAAAATTTTGTTGGGAATACAAAAACCGCGATTTTGGAGGCTTGACTGTATACATATGGAAATTATATCGAAATATTAAGTGATAAAACAGCACATTCCGGTACCTTTTGTACGGTAGAATTAATTGAAGCTAAGATTATTAGATTCTAAGATTCTGAGTAAACCTTTCAACATCTAACTAGAATGAATAATCTACAAAAAAATATCAAATGGATATTACCTAGACAGATCTATATTCTTCAGCACATCTTTTTTCTTATGTATGACAATATGGGCGTACTTTTCATCATCTACCAACTGATGAATTTAGAACACTTTAATTTCTGTTTCTGAACATGTTTTTGGAAAAAAGACATAAATTATGTATAGAGCTTGAGATTGTTTTATGCGTCGACATCTAAAAAGACGGTACGCTGCAACTCGCAGAAGGATAAAACGTACGCTCAACTAGGACCTCGGGTCGCCCGCAAATAGTTCGTCATTTTGCGTAGTAATAAAATTAACATTTTAGGAACTCTTCAGGCATTAAAGGCACGAAAGTAAATTCATCGATATCAATACGATACGGTGACCTCAGGTCACCTTATATATTGATTGAATTTTATAAGATAGAGAGTTTTCTTTGTCTTACTCCAAAATAATAATATTTATTACTTTATACAGATCTACTTTCTTATATATATATTAGCAGAAACATGAAAGTAATTAGGGGGACCAGAGAAACCTTATATTATACATCAGTAGGGAGACCAGTGGTCACCTTATATTGAACATCATTAGAGGGATCATAGGTCATCTTACATTTTAAATAGATAGGGGGCCAATTTTTATTTTTATTGCACATCATAAGGGGGACCAGAGGTCACTTTATATTGTACATCAATACGGGGACCAGTGGTCATCTATTATTTGTACTGTACATCAGTAGAGGGAACAAAGATCACCTTATATATATTGTACATCAGTAGGGGGACCAGAGGTCACCTAATATTGTACAGTATATCAGTAGGGGAACCAGAGGTCGCCTCATAATGTACGTCAGTAGGGGGACCAGAGGTCACCTTATATTGAACATAAATAAGGAGACCAGATGTCACCTTACATTGAACATCAGTAGGGGGACCAGAGGACACCTTATATTGTACATCATTTAGGGGACCAGAGGTCACATTATATTGTGCATCAGTACGGGGACCAGAGGTCAACTGATATTGTACTGTACATCAGCAGAGGGAACAAAGACCACCTTATATATATATATATATTGTACATCAGTAGGGGGACCAGAGGACACCTTATATTGTACATCAGTAGGGGGACCAGAGGTCACCTTATATTGTACCTCAATGGGGGACCAGAGGACACCTTATATTGCACTTTACATCAGTAGGGGAACCAGAGGTCACCTTATATTGTACATCATTAGGGGACCAGATGACACCTTATAGTGTATATCAGTAGGGAGACCAGAGGTCACCTTATATTGTACATCAGTAGGAGGACCAGAGGTCACCTTATAATGTACATTAGTAGGGGGACCAGAGGTCACCTTATATTGTACATCAGTAGGGGGATCAGAGGACACCTTGCACTGTGTATCATTAGGGGGACCAGAGGACACCTTATACTGTACGTCAGTTGGGGATCAGGGGTCACCTTCTATTGTACATCAGTAGGGGGATCAGAGGGCACCTTAAAGTGTACATCAGTAGGGGGACCAGAGGACACATTATACTGTACATCAGTTGGGGGACCAGAGGACACCTTATGTTGTACATCAGTAGCGGGACCAGAGGCCACCTTATACGAGGGTTGTTCAATGAATAAGGTCCTCGGTGCTCGGAATGAAGCAAAAGACGATTTTCAATAATTTAGTCATAATGATTTAACCTAATATTATCTTTTAATTAAAAACATGTCTGTAACATTTTTATCCAATTTCTGATTATATTGTTTTTAGAACTCATTTTTGGTATGACCCTTTGTATACTGGATTATGGCAGATCCTATGATTTCTTGGACTTGTTTCTTCCTTCTGAAAGGCGTTTTGTCAAGTTTGGAAAAGGAAACAAGCCAAAAGGCGAAAGATCTGGCGAATATTGTTAAAGCGAAAGAACATTAACTTTCTGTTTATCCCCAAGACTCCTTTACTCTTCAGTGCGTGCGGGTTTGGACGCTGTCATGAAAAAAAATCTAATGTAGTGGATTCCTGATTCTCATTAACCTTTTGATTTTTTTGCAAAAAATTTGCTTTTTAGATTCTTCCAGATATTAAACTGCCTCCCCGAATACGAATTTGAACTACAAGACCACTAATATTTAAGAAAATTGCATATAAATCTGTCTTTGTGCTCTTGCAATTCTTTGCTCTTCTCAGGTCTTTGCTGACTTTGTCAAGTACATCTTACTGTAAATTTTGTTTTGAGGATTTTAAGCAATAGATTTATGTTTCATTATCTGTTTGAAATTCAAGCAAACGTGGATAACTACAATTACTGATTATCTTTTTATTAATTGTTTAGATATTCTTACACGCAATCGTTTTCACTACTTTTTAAAACATAGCTGACTTTTGAGTTCTAAGCTTTTTTTTTTACTGTCAAACGTTTCTTTAAAACAGTGTGAACTACTCCCGAAATGATGTTTATCAAAGAACTATATGCGGTACATGTATATTGCATATATTTGCCCCCACAAAAGTCAAATTTTGAAAACTTCCTGAAATGTGCTGAATTCAATAAACTGTATGAGAAATATAATTTAACAGAAAATATTATAGTGTCAAAGCAGTGTATTCACAATTTTTGTTTTTATGACGTCACAAACTAGTCCGATTTTATATCCTTTTTCAGAAAGAGGACAAAATGGACAAAATTTCAACAATTTTAGCTTTAAAATTTATAGAGCGCAAGTTTGTTCAGGAACAATATTGGCATATTTCATTGATATTATCATTCTACACATTGTATCAAAATATTGATCCTGAACACACATGCGCTCGGTGACTTTTACTCAAAATATCGACGAAATATGTACATTTTTCTGTAAAATTCATTAAAACACTGAAATTTACGTCATGTTTGTGGCGTCATTACGTACATATGGCGTTATTACTTATGAAAATATTCAGTGCTTTGAAGTCAGCATATACTCCCCTGTTTAAGAACTTTATTAAATATATCTCCATCAAAGCTTGATTTGGGGGGCAAATATTGGTTATTTCCGAATAAAGTTCTTTACAATGTGTAGTATAGTCAATCACACACTATCAGTGATTATTTGTTGAAATTGGCAAACAGTATACATGTACTAGTATTAGTTGTTTAATTTTTCGTTGGCAAGGACGGTATCCATTTTTGATGCCCATTATATAATTTTTTATCTTTTAAATCCACCTGCTCATTTGCCTATAAACAGACAGTGGTTGCTGTAAATTTTATATATTTCAGTGAGTATTTCTTTGGGATTCTTAACAAATTTTACAGCAGCTTTAATGAATGGTTTAATTTCACTCTAGTTTATCGATTCTTTTTTTTTAATGCAGTGTCTCGAATACCCTTGTTTTCCAGCTTCTCACAATGGAACTTTGTGATGAAAAGTGGTCAAATAAACTGTTATAAATTCATTAAAGATTCAATAATGAGAGAGAGTCAAGCTTAATGCCATATGATATCTGTATTGTATGTCACAGAGTTCAGGACATTATTTATTGAACATCCCTCGTTTTGTACATCAGTAGGGAGATCAATGATCACACTTTTTTGAACGACAATAAAGAAACCGGAAGGCAATTTATATTTTACATCAATAAGAAGACCACAGGTCATCTTATATTGTAAATCAACAGGGAGACCAGAAGACACCTAATATTTTACATAAATATTGAGACCAAAGGACTCCTTATTTGGTCACCTGAATCAACTCATGTGACTTATTGCTATGTGTATTTTTTTCTGGCGTCGTGCGCTGAGCATTGTGCGTTAACATTCGAACATTTTCAGTTTTTCTCTGCAATCCCTCAACCATTTACAACCAATTTTGGCATAAATCATCTAAGGGTGAAAGGGAGATTTTTAAATCATGGTCCCTGCCCTCCACCTCCTAAGGCAAGAAAGTAGGGGCAAAACTACTACAATTTATGAAATCTTCAGAACTTTTCATTACTCATTGACATCAAGCCGTCGAACTGTTGACATAATTTTTATAAGCATTGACTCCTCTTCCAAAATTGTAAAATTCATTGTCCCAGGGTCAGGGGCCCTGGGGTTAGGACAGGGCTATAAAAGTTTATATCGTGAAATGCATTTGTTCTCCAAAGTCTTGAAATTCATGACCCAAAGGTCAGGGGTTCTTGTGATACGGTATAGGGCTATATAAATTGTAAAGTTAAAATTCATTAATTCTCTGAAAAATATTTATCTCTGCTCCTGGATATTAATTGCACTAACTATATAATTATAGTTATGATAAGCAAGGGAGTCTCTTCCAGAATTATAAATTTCAAGGCCCCTGGCTCATGGGTACCATTGAGGGGTGGTGGCTCTTATATAATACTGTAATTGAATTAATGCTTTGAAATTTGTTCTTTGGTATAAACCAATTTTTTTATGAACAAGGGTGCCTTTTCCAAAATTGTGAAATGCATGACCCCAGGATGAGGGTTTTTGTGGTCAATGGGCACTACTTATTATTGCTAATTATTATTGATTATTTGAAATGCACTTTTTTGTTCTCCTACGCTCTATATAGGTATTAAGTAGCC